CTTTGAATCCTTCCACACCCTTGCAGCTGCCTGGCCACTTCGTAAAAGGCTTCCTCACATCAAAAGTGGATCTATCCAAATCCAATGGGTCCCTGAACACGCCAAAATCCCTAAGAACAAAGCGGCTGATCTCACTGCCAAAGAGGGAGCTGCCTCAATCCCTCCTGCTCCTCACAAATCCTCATACGCCTCGCTAAAGAGATACGCCAAGACTCAATCCCTATCCACTGCTCAGTCACAATGGGAGAAGGTGGCACCATAGAGCTATCAAGATCTAGAAATAACCACTTCCCCTAAGCGCCCTGGGAAGCTTCAACTCAACTGACTTGACCTCGGCTATGTTATTGCGGCCTATACTGGTCATGGAGACTTTGCAGACTACTATGAATGCTTCAACCATGATGATGCTTATCTTCTCTGCTGATGCAGAGCACGAAAAGCACCTCTGCACTTCTTCTTCTGTTATATAGCTAAGAGACAAGCCCCTCAGCCTCCTGGGCCCTCTTCTAAGGTCATCTCTTTTCTCTTAGGCACTGCTAAAGGAGCACAAAAGCTAGCCACATGGCTAGCAGAGACCCACTTCTTTGAGGATATCTGCCCTCGCCAACCTCTCCTTAGCACCTAGTTAAGACAGCCCTACTCTTCCTTTATATTTCTCTTCTCCTTCTTTCTTTCTCTTCTCTTCTTTCTTTCCCTCTCTGCAAAACTTACTATTCAGTTATAATAGTGGTAGAGTAATAGGTCATGGAGTGTAGGCGGACCATTACAGCTAGCAAATACCTAAAACCCACTCAAAGTGGACCTCCCTGTAAGACCACGGCAGCTATGGAAATGCGCCAAAGAGTCTCTTATTTGTATATAAATCTGATAGGACCTGAAACCTGAGGCTTACCCCTCGGCGGCCTATGTCCCAGTAGGGATCGGTGGGAAGCGTGCGAGTCACGAACCACGGCCGTTAAATATACACACACACACACACACACCCCCTCGTTCTTAGGAATAAGTCACAATATTAGGAATCAAGATATCTTCATATTGTCAGGCTCGTTAGGCCGCTTCGTGTTCGCGCCTTACTACCGTCTATGCTTCGTGATACGGACCGTAGTTAAACCAACAATAAGAGTAGCGAATATTCTGTGCATAGATGGATTCAATTCCCTGCTGCAAGGCAAAACCCCTCTTTTATCTGTGTAGGTACTGTTTAGGCGTTCCACTATATAAGAGCCCCAACTTTAGCCTCGATTAATAAAAATCACGCTTGTCTAATTTGCTCGTTCTAACGCAAGATTGCTACGTAGTGGTTATATGAAAGCCCGAGATAGGCTCTAAATTAGAGTCTTTGGCATCCTAAGTTATACCTATCGAGTACTGCCTCTGACTAAAAGAGTAATACCGAGTCAGTGTTAAAGCAATAGCGGGTTGGGCTGTATATTCTACAACGCTTACAGGCGGCAGGAAACTTGACTTCCCTTGTATATGAGTGACAAAATCCCCCCATAGAAGCATTTTCTCCAGCACACATTCTCTCTAATCGTTTGATTTTGGCCTCTAGACTTGGCTTCTATATGGACACCTAGGTAGAATGGAGAACACAACCTCAGGTTCCCGGCCTAAATTATACTGTGGCACTGCCTGTGATCAATGTTTCCGATGCAAAGCCCGCTGCTCAGGCGATCGACCTGTATGCTAAAGATGTCAGAGCAACCAGAGTGCATGCACTTATAGCATATCTAAGCCCCTCAAGCGATCCAAAGAGGGTAGAAATCGAGCGTCTAGAAGCTTTAGCACTGGACAGCCACCGAACTTAACCCCATCAAGTTGCCCAGACTCGGTTGATACCACCAGAATGCCAACAGTTTTGAATACTAGAAGCAATCCACATTGCTCTTTAGCACCACAGCAGCTTCACACAGAACAATGGAATGTTAGTAGGCAGTTAGAAACGAGACCCTTCGCCTCACTAATATTATACTAGTCTAATCCGCATCTACCTTCTTCCAGCCTTTCGTCATACTCAGGAACCGAGGGCTTTTTGCCGATTCAGGGGTTGGATTTCTCCAATGCTGATGGCTGCGGCTCTCACGAAGACAACGTGGATTTTCAAGAATTCTCAAACTCCCAAGTACCTGCAGATCTCGATTGCCTGATGAATGTTGATGGATCTCACTCTGTTGTTGCATCACCTCTGTCCTTCCTACATTCCGAAGACGTTTTGGCACCGTCACACCTTTTACCTACCCCCCAAGAAGAAGAAGTCGAGAACAATGGACGGCGCAACGTCCCTTCCCTATTTGCAGAAACCTCAATATCCGACCCAGCCTCGATACAAGTCATTCGAAACCTATCTCGAATTAGACTGCGTAGAACAGAGCGATTACCTTTCGATTCTACGTTGGTTCTAGCCAAACAGGGTCTCAAGATTGTTACATCATGCCTGCCAGACAAGCATAGTCCTCAACCTGACCCATCTTCTCAGAAGGGATCAACAACACTTGCATTTGCTTGTGTATATGTTGCCGACCTCGTTTTGGCATGTTACGCAATCCTACGATTCCAAATAAAGCAGAATAGTCAAAGTAGCAGCGGACTAGTTCGAATCGGCGAGTTTCATGTTGAAGGAGATGAGATTCGACACCAACTGCTGCTCTTGGTATTGATAAAGGAAATCGAGCACTGTAAAGAGGATGTAGCTAAGCTGCTACAGTGGGTGACTTGCCTGATTGAGGAGGACGACTGCAGTGGAATTGGAAACCAACTGCTCCGTCCTTTCATGGAGAGCCTGTTACTCTGTGTAGAGTCACTGGGTAGTAACTGATAGCTGACACAGTTAGATTAACCTTACCTCTAAAAGATGTTTTCTAACTCTCATTTCTAGATCTGTTAATATGTTGCGCGGCCTTACCTACCTAGGCAGGTAGCTACATATGTCCATACCCCCGCATATATTATTAATATAGTGCATTGGGAAAATCAGGGTAAACTAGCAAAGCCATCTCTCTCTGCAAGGCCAATCATTCCTTTCAGTTATGTACCGTTTTGTTATGAATGGGGGCCCTTTCTTATCTACCAGCATCTAATCCACTGGCTGTCCGTCCGGGGTTTGCTGGCAGCGCTAAGGGTGCGTAAATGCATTCTGGTAGATTAAATGGGCTGCATAAGGGCATGCACCTAGGTATCCTTCAAGATGTAAGAAATCCCTGTCATTAATGTTGATTGTTATTGCATTGTTTTTAAATGCCGCGGGAATTCAAAAGGAATTTCAATAATCTTCGCAGTGCCAGTAGCACACTTCCCTTTCCTGGGCGAGCCATGTCGGTCAAAAAGTCAGGTCCATTTATAAAAATCTTGAGGTCTGTAAACTGGCCCCAGATAACCAGGTTGAATTCCAAGTTGCGTCTCAATGCATGATGCTTGACTCTGAATACAAGCTATTGAGTTCGATTGATGAGGAAGTAGAGAAGAATCACAAATCCGTACAACGATGGTTGTATGATCGATATGTCCCATCATTTGTCTATTCTTCGGCCCCCGCTGTGATTTCGTTTATGCCAGTATCTAATCTAGCTTCAATATTACTATGTCTGTACCTCTTGTTTTTTAGCGGCTCAGTAAGCAAACCTGGAGGCTTTGAGAAAGGGTTCCAGACAGATTTAGGTGACTATCAGCCTCCAATTACCCTGACCTGCATAATTGAAATGATATGGATTTCTGACAATCCGAGAGCGAGTAGCGGCTGCACGGGATCAAATATCAGTCAAGCGAGTAATGTTCACAGGAGGTCCAACCTTCTATGATAATGGAACCGAGGTCCTCAAATTCCCTGCAGACCAGCCGCGTTATGTTGGAGAGCCTTCACAAGACATAGATGATGCTTGGAATGCATTGACACGGGATATGTGTCCTTTTTGGTGACCTATTTGACTGCAGAACTCTATTGACAACCATTTCTAGATCGCTATATCATTTTGACAGAAGATGAAGCCCGGGAAGCTTGGGGGGCAGAGTATACAGAGTTCTGGGATGAAGACAAACAAGCCTATCTCGCAGGGTAAGTTTCCAATCTTTTGGCCCCAGAATGTCAAGAGATTAATATAGAAAACATGATCAAAGCCTGGAGAGTTTCCATTTGCTTCACTGTCTGGTGAGTATATACTTTTCCCTCCCATTGGCTCACCATAGGGTCCATCAACTTCAACATCTCATGCATATACTCATCGTTACTGCCAGGATCATCTTCGCCAGTCATTCTATCCGGACCACTATACACACACCGGAATCCATGGAGTTTTGCATAGAGGTAAGTGATCTTAGTCCTCATATCAATTTCATTAGCTTATAAGTTTCTAAATGACAAGCAGATCATTGCATTGATGCTCTGAGACAAATGCTTCAATGTGTGGTGGACGTTACTCCAATCCCGACCCGATATTATCCAGGCATTGGACACAATTATATAGACTCTGATAGGGAGCATACCTGTCGCGATTTTGATCAAATGCGAGTCTGGATGTCATATAGAACCGCCACAAAAGTTCCACAATGATCAAGGCTGGAGACTTCTAGACTCAAGCCTAGAAGTCTCAAGCCAATGATCACCTGCAATTTGAATATATTGCCCAAGGTCTTAGAGGTTTTGTTGGTCTAAGCTAAGTGCATTGATGAGCCTTTTGGCTATAGTATAATCTTTACTGAACTGATCATGCTCTACACCTCACTTCAAATGTTACGCTTAGAAATCAATATATGTTTCAAAACAACAGGTGTATTCGGACTTCATATGTCATATTATTGCTGTGAATGCTAGAATAATGTAATTCAGGAACGCGTCTTTGTGAGCATAACTTAAAACTCTCCCCAGGAGAGTGTCAAGACATCATCATGTATTGGATTCTAAATGACTGCTGTGGCCTTGATTCATGGAATCCATCACTTAACTAGCTATTCAAATATGCATCCACAGCCTGTATAGCTTTCAGCTCTTCAGAAACGCTGACAATGGTTCACTTGCGGTCAGGATAGATCCAGTCCTCGACTTCTTCGCCACGCTTAGTCTTGCGATCAGGATAGATCCAGTCTTCGACTTCTTCACCACGTTTGGCCTTGCGGTCAGGATAGATCCAATCCTCCACTTCCTCGCCGCGTTTTTCGGCAATATCAACTAATCACAAAATTGGCATATGATAATCAAAAATCATGTATGGAGACTAACCATTCAAGTTGGGCGCAGGAAGTGCCAGGGCCAATTGGCCGAGGAAAAGCGCCGACAAGACAATGGATGCCTTCATTTGGGAGATATCAATCAGTAGCTCAAATAGGTAATGTTGATTCTGGTATCACGGAATGTCTAATCACTTAAATTACACTGGATAACCGTTCCTTTATATCAATATGGTAAAATAATTCAAATCCCGAGCATGATCTTGTTTTCATTTTCCCGTTAAGAAGAAAGTATCAAATGCCGGTAAATGGATGTTATTGGGACCATCACGCGGGATTTAGCATACACTCACTTGGTTCCTTGTTCTCTTCGGGTGAGACGGCATTCATATCTATCAATTACTGTATTACTTTTTATTCAATTGTAGAATCTGAAGTCAACGCTTGTATTAGAGAACGATCAGAGTGCATTTGGCAATTCACACATTCCACACCATGGTCGACGATTTAAGACTCAGTTCAGATTCCGACGATGAGCGCTCAGAAGACAGAGACGACGAAAAATTATTGAAGTCGGAAATTAAATCTGATTTCTATCCTAACGATCGGTCAAATAGACCACGAAAACTCTTCTTAGTTCTGGTTGCTGGATTTTTTATCAATGTTGTCTGGACATCAGCCCTCGTCTGGAAATGGATATCTCTACAGTCCAGTGTTTGTATCAAGGAATCATTATTACCTGGACCGCTAGTTATGATATACTGTTACGTTTACCCAAATTACTCTGAAGTATGCTATATACTCATACTTTTGGTCTTTAGCACCTGCGAGAGAGGCGGTCAAGTATGAAATTGTCGAGACCAATACCACGATTGACTCATCGAACGTCTATATGGGCAAGCCACGACCGGAACAAACTTTAGCATGGGAGGAAATTACAAAATGTAGGCTTCAAAGGCCATTCCAAAAGATACCAGAGATGCTGATGAATTATCAAACTCTTAGGGAGAAATATCGCAGTATCTAAAGATGATCTAGAGAAGATCGGTCAAGATTCCATCGAATTGGCTGATGGTACTGGTTACATGGCAACTCTGGAAGTATTTCATCATATTCATTGCCTGTGAGTCATTTTTCCACAGAATCATATTCATGATTATCGATTCTCTTTCTGATATGACCTAGGGACTTCATCCGAATGTATATATTTAAAGATTATTATGACACTCACGAAAATGAGAACCTGCGCTGGAAACACGTTGGTCAGTCACTATCCAGGATCCTTACATTCAGTTTTCAATGCTGATTTATTGATATAATAGACCACTGCATTGAAATTTTACGAACAAGTGCCATGTGTCAGGCAGATATCTCACTCGTGACGTGGCAATGGGTGGACCGACAGGAACTTCCATTTGCGAACTTCGACGTTAAGCATGAGTGTCGTAATTGGGATAGCATTTTGGAATGGACTAAGAACCATCAAGCAGCAGCTTCGGCTATAGTACGGCCTCCTGAAAAGACCTGGCCACCGCATCCCCAAGGTAAACAACTTGATGAATAGGGTATTTGTAGCAGGCGAACCAGGAGAAATACAAGATCATTATTATATTAGTTTTCAAGGAATATGAGCTGTTACAGTCAAGCTCTGAGGAGCCTACAGGATTCGCATTCCTGGATGAGGGAAATTGTTTAGGGTACTGTTTTAGGAGCAGCAATAGAGAGTAGAATCCCCATAAGAAAAAGGAGAAAGGAAACTAGTGGAAAAGCACTGCTTTACACAATACACTAGAAGATTGAATGAACACTTGTATTACCGGTATTTCAGCACATAAAACCTATATACTGGACCGAATTCCCGGAGCAGCAAGTCAACCGCAGTAGTTCGCAGCTTAGACCTCCAAATAGACTGCTTTCAGTAAATGCAATACTAGAGAATGGGATATCTTGATTCTCACATATTGGAATTTTTAATCATACTCAATTTTGACACATCCCATCAAGTTGTTCTATAGATTCAATGCATCATTAAAGAACGAAGTCGGAATCTCGCAGAATGCCAGACGCAACAATCCTTGTACGCTTAAAGTCCTTTGCTCGAAGTCTTTGGGAAAATCCAGCACCATTCGAGAAGTCAGTATACTTCAAAATCGAGGAATCTGAGAACAACGAGCTGGCCCATGAAAATGAATCAATCCTACCACTGATAAAGCCAAAGAGCAATAACTGGTGGATGAAGATCTTTTGCGCTACAATCCTTTTGTTGAATATCATTGGTTTAGGGATGATTTTTGCCCTGGTGAAGCAGGACAGGCATCTACATTCATATGAGAAATACTCTGTTTTCCCCGAACGTAAGGCTTCTTTTTCTCTACTTTCCTGTTCCTTCACCCATTGTTTTACTCCGAGCTCACATTGTCAAAAGTGGAATATGAAACAAGAAAATTTCATCCCGAAGATATATTTCCGAGCTCAAATTCAGAAACCGTATGGGATTCTGGTCTGCCAAAAGCGAAAGGATTTACCATGGTTGAGAAGCCAGAGCAGTTTGATCTGCCCCCCGGCTCGCCTTTTCAAGGAGGTCATCACCGCTATGGAGTTAGTTGGGGTCATCAGTATCACTGTGTGGTATGCAATTTATTTCAATGACTTTATCTCTCGCTTCCTTTCTCTAGCATACACCTGGGGAGTGTGGAGTGATAGACAGGATTATGATTAATGGTCGTCTCTACAGAGAATGATGCGCGACGAATTCTTCGCTCAACTTCACAACCGAAGCACTTTGGTGGGGATGGAGGTCGACCTCAACAAGGAGGAATATACGACTGAGGAAATACGACTCATTCATCTGGCACATTGCTACGATTACCTGCGGCAAGTCATTCTCTGTCATATGGATATGACAATCGAGTATCCTACCGGAAACAGCGTCGCCAAAGGAACGATTAGTGGATATGAAGTTCCTCATCAATGTGTGAAACGTTAAGTACTTTATTCCAGCCCATTGTAGAAAAAATAAAGAAGAAGAGGCAGAAAGATGCTAAAATATGTCTTAGGAACCTCTAGATGCATACATGGAAATGCATGCTCCTGACGGTTATGTAACAAAGACCCCATAATTTCGACATTACAATGCAAAATAGATCCATCAAACATTATATTGCAATAAGACCGATGGAGGCGATAAATCAGTGACTCGGTCTAGTAAGCTTTGTAAAGGAAATTGAGAGAAAACCAATCGCGTAGAGACCAGCCGCAGTGAGAAAAGGCAATCCCAACCAAGAATTACCGAGCAGCATACCCCATTTGAATGTATACGCCAGTAATGGCCCGGCGAAGACCATTCCTCCTGATGTCACAGTAGCAATGGCGGTATAGACAGTTCCCAATAGATTCTTGTCTACTAGGGAGGTAACGAGACTCCGTGCAGTGATTTGGAACGAAAATCCGAGTGCACAAATGACTAAACCCATAGTGAATATCAGAGGTGACCAGCCGAAGAACATAAGCGTTGACCCGATAAACAGAAGTGCAGTGCTAGCCTGAGTTAGGTGTTTATCCCTTACTGCTGGATTCAGTTTCAATCTCAATCTAAGGAACTCGGAAATTGCAGGCAATAGAACAAGAAGCAGAAACAGATTAACACTGCCGCGCAGAGATAAAAGATAAGATGTCTGTTATGGAATCAGCAAGAATTTCTCAGAAGAATGGATTAGTCTGGTTACTCTTGACTTACCTGACCAATAGTCCAGTGAAACTTCTTGGGTCCATATTGTAAAATCAGCGGAATAGCTTGCTTCCCAAGATAGGAACTAAAGAAGCAGACCAGAATAAGAGTGACGTTGCTGTTCTGTCGAACCAGTCGTAGCGACTCTTGAAACTTTTTGAATTCCGAGAGAACTTTCCCAAGGACATACTTATAACCTGGTTCATCCCCGTTACCTGACGAAGGTCTGGATTGGTCATCAACTTTATCCATTTGAAGTGTCTCTGGTACCCAGAAGGCAATGAAATAGCCGACAAAGTACATGCCAAAGCTGATGAGGTATGGCAGCCATGGGCTGAACGACATGAGCATAGCACTCGCAGGAGTTGCCACGATCTCCGATATCAAAACTGCCGCAGAAAGTTGCGAAAAAGCCGTGGTCCTAGATACTTATGCATCAGAACTCGCTCATATCTGATATCTGAAACGGGCCTACCTTCTTTCCACCGAACAGCTGTCTGCAATCATGACCCACATCATTGATGTCGCAGTCTGAGGACCACCACCGATCAATTGTGACAGGGCTGAGAACCAAACTGCTCTCAGAGGAATTCTTGGAGCAAACCAGCCTTGACCAGTAAGTAGGAGTATCTTTCCGAAGCGGTGCTTTTGCAACAGACTCACAAACAATTCTGGTCCAACACTCTCCAAGAATGCAACCAGTCATTCCTAGTAGCAATATAGGCTTACGACCAATTCTATCCGCCAGAGCGCCATGAGGCAGTGCTAAAAGAAGCCCTATAGGAAATCGATGAGTTATCCGGGTTAATATGCGCAGGCTTTCTACCGAAGCCTTACCTGGAATGGTTTGAAATGTATCAGTCCAGCCGTTGATCAAAGCCAACTCGCTTTGTACCGGCTCAATTTTACATAGCTCTCGGTCGAGTTGATCGTGAGCAGACAAAGCGCCTATTGTTGTATAATATTGTCGGCAAATAATTTCCTCAAAAAGCTGCAGTTGAGGAGCAACCGCTGCGTAGCCAGCGAGATCCGAAATCAGAGTCACAGTTGCAATCAGCACGATTACGCGCAAAGCGTGTTTCGATGAAGACGACTCGGGCTGCCTAAAAGATTCGGAATCGCGTGCGGACTCGAGACTGTTTTCGGGCTGCAAGAGGGGTTCTGTCTCTCCAGTCTCAGCCATTTTCAAGGTTGTTGGTAACCGACGTATATCAGAGATGTTGCAACATTGAAAGAATAAAGTGCAGCGGACAAAGAGGGCTGTTCATAAGGACATGGATTGCTTATCTAAGACCAAATCCCTGACTCGCGAGCCTGACCGCCCGGGGATTTGTCTATTAGTCTACCACGGCCTGATGCAGGCAAAAACATTGCATTGATGGTGTCTAGAGTGGACAGGGATGTTGGTTGGCTGGCCTGCTGGAGCGATAAGCCGGGGCTTGCCTACTAGTTAGGTACCAGTACAGTAACGTCGCTTTCTTTATCTCCGAGGTTACCATCAACATCGGACCCAAAGCGAGCAAAATCGTGCTTTGATGCCTCCTGTGATAAAACTTTCCTTTTCATTATGCTGCCGGAGCAATGGAGAGAAGATCAAATTACTGCGAGGCAGCTGATGATGTCTTCGGCCCCCGGATATATGGCTGTCGGGACAGTTTCGATTTCACTCTTCTTTTCGAGCAGTCAATTCTGTCTATGCTGCCATCGCTTATCCTGCTTGTTGTAGCAGTGCCACAATTGCTTCGCCTCTTGAAGGAGGCGAACAAAATACATAGCAGACCAACAGACTGGCTGATCCTCGCTAAGCTTGTACAGTCCGTTTTCCCTGACAGACACCAGTCGTACTGATCTTCTCCATTTCTGTAGACTGCGATTTGCTGTTACGGTGCGACACAAATCGCATTAATCATTATCTATGCTTCTTCCTCAAGTGATCCGACTCGTCTATCTATTGCAGCATCATGCTGCTCCCTATGTGCTACATTGGCCATAGCAGTCCTCTCCTACCTGGGTCATCGTCGATCGGAACGCCCTTCGTTCACCCTCACCATTTATCTCCTTTTCACGACTCTTTTCGATGTGTGTCAGGCACGTACACTCTGGCTACGAAAGATCGACCCTCTGCTTCCAGGAATTTTCACAGCAGGTCTGGCGTTGAAAGCGGCGATTCTTTTCCTCGAGACTATAGAGAAAAGAGCTCTACTGCGAACCCCGTATCGATATTATTCACCCGAAGCCCTAGGAGGAATTATCAACCGCAGCGTCTTTTGGTGGTTAAACTCCCTTTTATTCAACGGATCATCCAAGATACTTCGTCAGGAGGATCTCTTTCCTCTAGATCCTAAACTGTCCGCGAGCTCTTTTATAGATCGCTTTCGAAAGACATGGTCTACATGCGACAAGACGAACGATTATGCTCTAGTTCTAGCGACCTTGAAAACCTTCTGTAAACCTCTTTTGCTCATTATATTCCCCCGTATCTGTCTGATTGGGTTTACCATCGCACAGCCGCTTTTAATCAACCGAGCCATTTCCCTTCTATCCCAGCCGGATAGTGTAGACAAGACCAATGTAGGAAGAGCGTTGATTGGAGCCACCGCACTGATCTATTTAGGGATCGCCATCAGCACTGCGTTCTACCAGCATCAAATTTATCGCTGCATCACCATGATTCGAGGCGGTCTAGTCACCTTGGTATACGATGCCACCCTGAAGTTGCACAGTTCCAAAGCGACCGATGCCGCTGCAGTCACACATATGAGTACCGATATTGACCAGATCACCCAGGGCATGACAAATTTCGACGTACTGTGGGCTGCGCCGATTGAAGTCGGCCTCGCAATCTACATCTTATGGCGGGAAATTGGGTTGGCATGTCTGGCGCCGGTTGGGATTGCCGTAGGCTGTACGCTGGCGGCCTTTTTACTAGGGAAATTGTCGAGAAAAGCCCAAAGAGTCTGGGTAGACGCAGTTCAGCTGCGAACTACGGCAACAGTTTCAATGCTCAATAACATAAAAGGAATCCGAATGTCAGGTCTTTCCTCCAGATTCTCAACAAATATTCAGGACCTGAGAGTGAAGGAGTTGGCAGCATCAAAATCATACCGTCACTTGACTGTTCTCAAGAACACAATTGGAACTCTGCCACAGGTTATGGGTCCAATTACTGCCTTTGTCATTTATGTTCTTGTGCGGCAGAATCAGCCGGTTTCAAAATGTTTGAGACTCTTGGCACGGATTTCTTCAAAAATGTCGACACACGTACATTTTCCTACATATTTTAAACTCCACGCGCAACAACGTGCTAATACGCGTAATTTTATACAAAATCTCGTGTCAACTTTGAAAACAAAGTCATTTCTAGTTTAGGAAATCTCCGAACATCGTGATATCGAACCATGCCACCTCGACGCGCCTCCAAGGATGCCACTGCTGTCAGATAATCCGGCTTTCAAAACGAGGCAGAAAGATCGACTGTTCAATCTTACAGGTCTAAAAGGCACCTTTAGGCATATATCTGGACACCTAGATTTTAGCCCAATATTTACCCCTCCTGATAGCTCACAAATCACCCCGCCAAAGGTGTCTATAAAGGACCCGGCTTTAAAGACTTGAAAGACAGACACAGAACAAAAGACATACAATCTTGCTAGTCACTTCTTTTCTTTGATCCTAGAAAAACACTCTTCAGGATTGGCCTGGAATAAACCGACCAATCCGACAACTGCCTCTCAGCAACCTCCAACAACGAACCCATACAACCTTCGATCGCTTCATATTCCACGTTCTATTCGACCGGGGGAGAGTTTTGATGAAAGGCACTATGTGCCAACTAGAGCCCAGAACCAAATACAGCGCATGAAGGAGCGGCAAGAGGAATTCGGATTACCTGCGCCAATAACATCAAAAACCGCTATACAGAAAACTCGTCAAGACGCTGCGAAGAAGGCAAATAGTCATCGCAAGCGGCCAGCACCTTCAGGAAGGAAATCTACTACGCGGTCTCCTTCCAAAACGCCATCTGCAAAGCGAGTACGGTTCGATATAACGTCTTCGAGAGACGCTCCAGACAGTTCAGTGGAAACTACACCTCTCCGCGCACAATCTAATGCACCAAGGGATGAGTCTATTATTGCATCCCTGGAAGCAGATACTAATGAGGAAACCGATGACAACGAAGATAGCGTTAGTGAGGATGATGATCTTCCCGTGGTAGTTCCAGGTAGACCTCCAGGTTGGAATATGGCCGATTATTTGAACGGTGAATATGATGAAGAAGAGAATCGCCTGCTGCGTGATACGCCATTAAGCGAGTCAACACCATTCAATTCACTGGATATCAAGATAGCAGCGACAAACCTTTATAACGCGAAGGAGGATTTCAAAAAACTCAGCGCTAAACGACGTATCAAGGTCGCCGAGCACGCTCTTCGTGAGGCCCGGGAGGATATTAGTATTATCAACACATCTGATATCCAAGACGAATTTAATCATGAAATCGGCCAGCGTGATTATTCAATTGGCATTGATCTGAGAGTCTATATTAACAAGTGAAAAGTCATCAGTCAAACACTCCATGATATGACTCAACGTTCATTTGATCTTGGTGTTGTAGAAGATCAGTTCCATGACCAGATTGTCAAATACACTGATGACGAACCTTTTACATTTGAAACTTGTACGGCATTTGTAAAATCAATGTCTGGTCGTGGAAGACAATTAAGCCATCAATTTGATGATTTTTCTATTACCGAGACCCTCAAAGTTTTAGATCTCATTGATAATAAACGAGAGGCTCATCCCGGTACAGCTTTATGCGTTCTTTTTGAGATCAAAGTGGCCTGCGAAGCACTTATATCAAAGAAAAAAAGGACAGCAATATCGACAGCTCAACAACCCCAGGATCCAATATCTATTCCAAGCTCGCCCCCTGTACTGCCGACACAAATCCGTTCTACTCGTACCACTCAGTTATTGGAAGAGGCTGCAATCCGTGAAGCGAGACGAGACCGAATATTGACAGCTGGTGATTTCCAACGTCAGTTGATGCAGAAATATCAATGCAACGATAGAAACTGTACGAATTATAACAACTTTTGCTTCCCTGATCCTATGGACAATACTCAGCACTATAATATCCTCGCTACTCAGCATGGGCTTTGGGCCAATCGGATAGCTTCAGGTGGTGCAACCATCGAGAATCCACCAGATGAGTTAAAGCAGTATTGGATGAAAAAACAAGGTTCGATAAACCGAGATTCTCGACAACCTGTTAAAAAGAACAATGCCCAGATCATGGAGCAATTTATGGAGATGCAGACGAAGATGTATGAGCAACAAATGCAGTATAGATTGATGGAACAGATGGAAGCAATGCAGGAAAAACAGGAACATCGTGACGAGGAGAAAGAGCGTCATCATTTACTGCGAGAACAGCGCGATTTATTAACACAAACACCTCATCAAACGGCTTATTTATTGCCTCGAAGATCAACAACAAGCCCTTCTTTGCTATCATTTAAAACTGATAAAACTCCTGCACGATTTGAGGCTATTCCCGCTACACCAACACCACGCCCGAGGTCATCTAGTTCGATAGATTCAAATGAGGACGAATATGACACGCTTGCCAAATTTTTCACCTGGAAAATCAACTCAATCAAGAATCAAGATAGGAAGAAGAAATGGGAAGATGCTCAATCGACCATATTTGCAAATGACTGGTCCATACGAGAGTTGAGGCAAATGGAAGACGATAAAACCCCGGCATATCAACGTGCAATAAAGGCAGGCATCTCAGACGGTCTGGCGAGAGGCTTCAAGAGAGAGTTACGCCAGTATAGGCAGTTCGTACGCCGTGTCCACGACGAACATGCTGCAGCCATGGCTCTAGGTGCGTTAGGAGGTGGAAATTCGACTATATGATGAAGTTCTAGGTATTAATACATTACTTTATTAGATTATTTCATTTAATCGCTTTGTTTGATTGCTTTAAGAATATTTGATACTATTCACTGAATAAGTTGACGCTTAGATCTGCCTCATACTGCGCGAGAAATTGATGAAATTCAATGAGTTCTTTCTCTTCAATATACACTCCATTCCCAGCGTGTTTAAAGTGTTTTCTGGCGAATCTATCACAACGACTCTGTTGAATCGAAAGATGGATAAATTCACCGTAGTTGCTGCATGTCTCACGCAAGAAAATCCAGTTCCTTTTCATCCATGATTTAAGAACACTAAAGGTGAGTTCTATCGGGTTATAATCGGGTGAATATGGTGGTAAATATCGAATAAGATGTCCTGCGCTCTCAATAATCTGACTAACGTGTTCGCGTGTATGGATCTTGACATTATCAAGAACAATAACCATTGGGAATCGGTGTATCTGGCTGAGTGCTGGTATCAATTTTGTTTCAAGCCAATCCGCAAAGTCACCAGTACTATAATATCTATCTTTTATGCCAGTACAGGGAAGATAGCCCTCCAGCGTCATTGCTGCGCAGATGCTCCATGTCTTGCCCTAATTTATATCTGCATCTATTTCAGCATCATCTCCAATCGGTGCATACGCGTGTCGACGCCAGCCCGTTTTCTCGTTAAATATCGACTCGTCAAGGAAGACAAGATCATCCGCTGCAAATTGGCGTATATCATCAAGATAGGCACGGCGAAGAGGTTCACTCCGGTTTAACGAGATTCGCTTAAGCTGTTTTCTTGACCATTTACGGCGCTTAAATAATCGAGATATTGTTGGCACACTAACATCCACACCACGCTCATAATATAACCAGGATCTGACTTCATCTTGTTGCCGCCAGCTCTCATGAAGGAGATATTCAAAAACAGCATCCTCGTCTGCTTGAGATAGCTTCCTTGCTCGTCCTAGGCTTCGATAAGCAGGTTTCCGGAGGCTGCCATACCGCAAGAGGTTGCTTTGATACCGGAAGATAGTGGCTCTTGAAACGTTGCAGGCGCTCGCGATGGCTTCACATTTCCAACCCAGGCGTAAATATCGTCCAATCTGGGAAATTTTATCGCCAGACAAGGCGTTGCTCTTATTTGAAAGAGGGCGTGGGATAAGCTGGCGAGTTTGTTGACCTGCTTCAAGGGCAATGTTCTCAGTGGCAGGTCGGTTTGGCAGCTCCATGACTTGGTATATCGCGCGATTCGAATTCCCCAAATTAGAAACGAATTTGGCTTCAAATTTGACACGAGATTTTGTATAAAATTACACGTATTAGCACGTTGTTTCGCGTGAAGTTTAAAATATGTAGGAAAATGTACGTGTGTCGACATTTTTGAAGAAATCCGTGCCAAGAGTCTCAAACATTTTGAAACCGGCTGATAAGAGAGATAAGAAGACTAAACAGATGTGCCGTGAAGCCATTCAATATTGGTTGTAGTGAGTTTTCTCACGAACATGTCCCTAATAAGTGGTGGTAACATGGCAGACTGAGTTGAGCGCAGATTCACCGAGCAATACTAGATTGAAGGCTACAAGTTCGGGCCGGGCTGCGCGACTCCTAATCACACACTCATCAAGGAGTTTCTTCGCTGGTACATCCACATAGCCAAGGGAAAGATCAGTAAAAGCGGCCGGGTAGTTACGTTCATGGTTCTCAATTTTACAGAAAGACTGTTTGGTGGGTTTAAAGAGAACATGCAGGTCACCATCGCTCCAAAGGACCGTAGCAAAATATTCCACGTAAGATATTGCATTACACTTGCATTGAGCGTCCCAATGTTGGAGCCGTTCTAACTACCATATAGTGGATCAAGCGAACCTTAACAGAGGAAGAGAAAGCGATTGAAAATGTCAAAGATCTGGACTATAGTTTCATGAAGAGGGACTTCCTCCGAGTAATAGCGTCGATGTGGCAGGCAGATCAGCGTCAATTCATGCCTAGCTTACTAAAGGCCATCATCATCTTAGCTCTCTAACTCTATCTGTTTATAGGAGCTAGGATCAGTGCATTCATCCCTGCCCACAAGGATCAAGCAACTAGAGGCTTGAGGTACAAGATGATGACATAGTGTTATAATGATAGTATGATGTGTTACTAATTTCTTAAATAGCACATCGACCTGGTTTTATTTCTATCTTCCATGGCACCGTGGAAGGTAGAGTGGAAAGTCAACTAAGTGTAGTTCAAAGGCAACCAAAACCCAGACTATACTGTGTAAGCCGATCCAAAGACCAATCACTTGTTTGACTTAATAAAAATGAGAGTTGACCTTTAGCCGTCGGCCTAGATTCGGAATCGGTATCTGCGATACCAAGAAACCACAGTTCGTAGTGGACTATATTCTCCTTGCTATTGCTCTCCAGCACGGGGCTTTGTTCGTGTAAAGATTATAGCCTTCGGGCCGATATTTATCCGTACGGGATAGAACACCTCACTCCTTAGATAGTTTCCTAGAGGGAGAACGTCCTGCGACCGGGATTAGAATCAGTTTGTGGTGGCGTGCAGGCTCAGTGTGCTCAGGGTGTTCAAAGTGCTGAAAGTGTTGGCTGGCGATGGCGGACGCGATGGTGGAGGAGCCGGCGACAACAACGCGTGCGGGACGCGTGGTAACACCCTCAACAAGGGCCCGAGAGGCCTCGGGCAGCGACAATATCAGCGCTGTTAGAACGTCTAAGAAATCAATGACCCAAGTCGAATTATCAGTGATAAAGAAAGCCGCTGGTCTTATTGAAGAGAAACAGAGCGGTAAAGACAGAAACAGGGACATGCTTAAAAAGATAGGCCAGTACCTGGAAAGCATCTATCAAGAGGTTAAAGCACTAAAAGAAGTCCTTATTAAATAAGAGAAAATAATTAAAGAGCAGTCTAAAATAATCCAAGAACAGAGTAGTACAATTTAAGTGCTGCAGACCTAAGTAGAAGCAATCCAAAGCCAATCTATAGAAGAATACAAGCAACTCTGGGAGCAGCTGGACACTTTCGCAAGTACCCCAGCCAATGCAATATATGTGGCTATAGTTGATAGATAATCTGGACATCAACAAGACATACCATTAGTCCCCCTAGCCCCTTCTACATTAGCTAATACGTTATTCTGCACCATCGATACGTCTCGCGTTGGAGAAGAAGACAAAGCTAAAGCCCAGATAGCTAATATTAGACAACAGATTGAGAAAGAGATACGAAAGAATGAGGAAATAAAGAATTGACGCTGTGCAGCAATGTTCAAGGACCCAAAGAATGTAGACCAAGTTAAAGTAATTTGCAAGCATAAAGATGAGATCTAGTAGGTTAAAGAAGCTGCCCAAAAGATTAATATACTAGGAATAAGAGTCCTACGAGACCAGCTATACCCGGTCAAAATCGATAATACCAACCGGACAGCCATCCTGGATGCGGACGGGAACATCCTACTAGAGGCAGCCGAGGCCTTAGGAAAGGAGAATAATGTTAACATTGCTAAGATCTCCTGGCTTAGTAAGAAGGACTCTAATAAGGCATATGGATCTATGGTGGTATATATTACAAAAGGGACTGATGCCAAACGTTTAATAGATAGCAACTACTTCGATATAGCAGGAGAATCCGCGTACACTCGAATCTTTGAACCATGAATGGGACCGGCTTAATGCTTCAACTACCAAGAGATAGGCCATAAGGCCTTTGCGTGCAAGAAGAGCCAGACCTGCGCTAAATATATAGAGAAAGGATATTACCACAACACATGCTAAGTGGTAGTCTTAAAGTGTGTTCCTTGTGGAGGACCTCATGAGTCATTTAGCAAAAACTGTTGAGTACACCTCATGCAATCTCATGCATAAATCACTCTGCGTACTACAACTCAATATGGGCAAAAGGGACATAATACAATAGAGCTTAATAAATAATAACAAGATTAGAGACTACGGGGTGGTGGCAGTATCTGAACCATATGCACAGACAATTAAGAATGCTATGGTGACAAGTCTGATGGGATATAGTTACTAGATAAAAATGATACCTACAAAGAGACATAATGGAAGATGGCCAATCTGGAGCATGCTATAGGTCCGGAGCAATATTGAAGCTAAACAGATCCTAGTAGAATTATCAGATCTAATAGCTGCGATTCTGCGTCTCCTAGACTGGGTGGTGCTAGTGGTCTCAGTCTATGTGGAGGGAAATAATGAGGAGGCACTGATATCTATAATTAGGCTGCTAAGCAGCTTAGTGGTAGACTACCGGGGAAGAGGAGGAATACAGACAGATATCCTAATAATGGGAGACTTCAACCGGCATGATCAACTTTGGGGCAGAGATCATATATCTCCTACAAGACAAGGAGAGGCTGATGCTCTAATTAACTATATAGATGAACACTCTCTCCACAGCCTCTTATCTAGAGGCATAAAAACATAGCAATCAGGAGATATGGAAATAATAATCAACTTAATATTAGTATCAACAGAACTGACAGAAGAGATGGTTAGGTGTGGCATACACTACACAAACCATGGATCAGACCATCAGGTAATTAAAATAGAGTTTAATATATCAGTTCTAGATTGACCTGCTAATGAGAGACTGCTCTAGAAGAATGCACCTTAAGCAGAAATCAGAGCTAGAGTTACTACCAGCTTGCAAATAGTTCCTTTAGATGGCTTGGTCTAGCTATAGATAGATCACCTCATGATAGCAGTCACAGAAGCAGTCTTTAAACTTATACTAAAGGCAAAGCCCTCACTATACACTAAATAATAGTGGACAACAGATCTAATGCAGCTCCGCTATACATACACCTACTGGAGAAATCAGGCCAGGTCGTAGCAAAGAGTAGGATGTGCAGTCCCTGAGCAAGCAGCAAAAGAATATCATGACGCAATCCAAAAACAGAAGAAAGCTCACTGGGAGGACTTCCTTGCGGACAATATCAATATATGGCAAGTAACCAAGTATCTCAAGCCTAATAGTAACTCTTTCAATGACAAAATACCGCCATTAGTAAAGTCAGATGGTGTCGGTATAGCAATCTTACCTATCTCGGCGCGGGAATGGGATATAGTTTTTCCGTGCGCTATAGCGTACGGAGGATAACTACATCTCACCACCCGCATCCCCCTAGTTCTTAGGATTAGTCGCAATATTAGGAATTCAGTATTACTGGCTCACTCAGCTTGTTGGATTAGCTGTCCTTCTTAGATCTTGCGATCTAACGAAGGTAAACCAACAGATGGATTTACTACTAAAGACAAATTGGAACAGGCTGAAGAGCTACTCGCTACATTCTACCCACCACTACCAGAAAGGATTGAAGATGAAGGAACTTGTCGGAACGTGAATATCAAACCTAGCGCGTTTCGGCACTGGATATCAGTTAGTCTAACGCGGCACGTGCGTGCCGCGTATATATGTAGTTAGCCACTCCCCGTCCCCCTTACTCTTGGGGGGCAGTCATCAATATCAGGAATTCTATACCATATTGATCCGGCTCGTCAGCTCGTCGGAATAGCTGTTCTACGTGACTAGTGCTAGCGACCTAGACGTAGATAAACCGACAGAACTTAACCTCAAAGGGAGCCAATACATATGTCTGATCTAACTATAGAGGAGATTAAGAGGAAAGTCTTTAATGCTAAGCCATGGAAAGCACCTAGGGAGGATGGACTCCCAGCTATGATGTGGAGGCAGTTATGGCCAGTAATTAAAGAAAGAGTATTTCTTATCTTCCAGACATCACTACGAGATGGTGACCTTCCATCTCAATAGAGAAATGCGAAGATCATATCACTGAAGAAGCTGGCAAAAGATAACTACTTACTAGCTAAATCATGGAGACCTATATTATTGCTTTCTACTCTAGGCAAGATACTAGAAGCGGTCATTGCAGAGAGAATATCATATACTATAGAAATATTCAGCCTACTACCCACCAACCACTTTAGAGCAAGAAAAAGGCGCTCCGCAGAACAAGTGATTCTACTACTTCAAGAAGAAATCTATAAGGCTTAGAGAAATAGGAAGGTCCTTAGCTTGGTCAGCTTTGACGTTGCAGGAGCATACAATGGAGTCTTCAAAGAGAGGTTACTCCAGAGACTCAAGGCAAGAGGGATACCTGACAAGATAGTCCAGTAGATTAATGCCTTCTGCTCAGGACGAACTGCAACTATCACAGTCAATAGACTAATAAGTGAATAGAGGGAATTACTATAAGCAGGCTTATCACAGGGATTACCACTTTCCCCTATGCTATTTCTATTCTTTAACGCGGACTTAGTACAACACAAGATAAATGCTTCTGGAGGATTAATTGCGTTTGTGGACGACTACACGACTTGGGTAACAGGCCTATCTGCTGAAGAAAACCATGCAGGTATTTAAGTAGTAAACGGGACCTGTGAATTCCCGCTTCCGGTTAGTTTTGCCGTTGGCGGCCTAGCGCGCCCGTACGCCGTATCGTCACGACCGCCGTCCCGAAACCCGCGACTATATAAACCTCGTCCCTCGCCGTTTTTACATCGCCTCCTTTTACTTCTGCATTTTCCCCTTCGGTTGCTTGGGCTGGTCGTCCTTCACCGGTCCAGCCGATCGCCAGCGGATCTCCACCATCGTCGCATTCACGGTCGCAATGCACGGCCACGCCATCGCGCCATCTCTCCACTCTCGGTATCACATTCCAAGATTTTGAAAGTTAGTGTAGTTGGATCTACAGTATTCAAATGGGAAAACAAATGGGATCATTCAATTATTTCAGGTCTGGCTTCTACTATGCTATACAGAGAATCCTCATTGTCTACGTCTGATCTTGTGGTGTCTGGCTATGCTTTCAAGATATCGGTCTCTTCAATTCTACGATCCTTTACAGCACGGCCTTATCAAGGCTGATCCAAGGCTGATTCAGGTCAATACAATTCCTGAACTTCATGCATCCCGGCTGTGTTACATCCCTAATCAGTCACGCCAATTTTATCAGCTCTAGGTCCCACTGTCTGAGGGTCCAGCTGACAACATATGAGTTCAAGGAGAAACAAGGCCAATAGCATAAATGCCTCATGCACTATTGATCATATTCATCTCCCACGGAATGACCTGCTTTTTCTTTCCTGGGATTCTGGAGTTGACACTCTGCGCTCCTCGTCAGCTGAGAATCAGTTGACACCAGTTCTACTGCAATATCAGAACCTATTGTGCTAGCGCTCTCCACTTAAAGTTTCAGCACTGAGCGAAGGTTCCTGTGGTCTTGCTGCATACCATGGCTAATGGCAAAAATACCGCACTGGCAGAGTGGATTGCGTGATGGCCAGGGTAAGAAGAAAGCATGACGATGCGACGATGTTCATCCACCGTAGGCGCCACTGAGACAGCTTAATTCATGTACAGTGGCAGCTGATGTTAGATCAAGAAGTGGCACATTCACAAATTCGGTCAGCATCGCCTTAATAGTGGATTGAGAGGGAAGTCTAAGGAAGTCAGGAAGCGAGGATGAAGGATACCAGGCGCGTCATTAGACTATGTCTTATCTTTGGGGCCAGAGCTAGCGTTTATTGATTCAATATTTTCTCACCAGTTGATAATGAATACTGCATTTTAGAGCTTAGTTTCATGTCAATGAAGGCGCAGGTTGTAAGTGAGTTTTAGCGAGACTTGTTATCAATAGAATCTCACTCACTATTACCTTAGAAGTGGAGAGCAAAGATCAATAACGTCAGGCTTGTCGTCAGCTGTGTCTCATTATTAAGGCTGGAGTTAACTGTGACAGCGCCGTACACGGGTCATATCTGGGTTATGTCAGATAATCCGGCTTTCAAACGAGGCAGAAAGATCGACTGTTCAATCTTACAGGTCTAAAAGGCACCTTTAGGTATATATCTAGGCACCTAGATTTCAGCCCAATATTTACCCCTCCTGATAGCTCACAAATCACCCCGCCAAAGGTGTCTATAAAGGACCCGGCTTTGAAACCTGATGGAGACAGAGAGACAGAACTCAACAGATACAATCTTGCTAGTCACTTCTTTTCTTTGATCCTAGTAAAACACTCTTCAGGATTGGCCTGGAATAAACCGACTAATCCGACAGGTTAGGGCTTTTGACGGGTTATTCCGGTGATAGGGCTTCCTACCCTAAGCGGTACTATATCGAGGCACCGCCAGCGGTACTGTATTGGGAATGGGACTCGCACATAAATATCAGCTCCAGCGCTGGCCTACACCTAGTCTTCTATTTTCCCCTCCATGCTTAGTTTTCTCGTTGACCGCTACCCTCAATGCAATATTAGTATTTTGGCCTGAGCACTTTCACAATAATCTGGATATCTAGAAGCAGTCAAATGAGGTAGTCAATTAGAAGCTCTACTTTATAGCCCCCAAATTTACCCCTCATGACTGGTCATAAATGATGTCAACCCTTGCCGGAGGCCAGCAAAGCCAGCCCACCAAAAGGTCTATATAAAACCCGACTTTGGAACCTGATATATTAAAAAGGACAGACAACTGAATATATATAATCTTGCTAGTCACGTCTTCTTTTCTTATACTTGTAAGATATATTCAGGGTTAGCCGGGAGTAAACCCGTGTCGTAAACCGATGCTTGACAAGCGTCTAGATCAGAGCTAACTCTTCACTGAACGGCGGTTCGGTGGTATTCTGATAACGAAAGGGCAGGATGCCTAAGTAATAAACAAGAAAGCCTAAGTTAACTAGTTCTATGAGCAATGGTATACTCAAAGTTAAACAGTTAATTCAAGACGATAGAGTAAAGCTAATTACATAGTAAATGAGCGTCCTTATATGTTCCATCGTCAACATAGAATTCATAGAAGTTTCTGTTGGTTTAACTACGGTCCGTATCACGAAGCATAGACGGTAGTAAGGCGCGAATACGAAGCGGCCTAATGAGCCTGACAATATGAAGATATCTTGATTCCTAATATTGTGACTGACTCCTAAGAACGAGGGGGAACGGGGGATAGCTAGTTAGATATACACGCGGCACGCACGTGCCACGTGAGACTAAGTAGTCCGGTGCCGAAACGCGTAGGGTTTGATATTCACGTTCCGACAGTTTCTCTGTTGGCTCGATCATAGAGAACATAGAAGTTCTCTGATTTCTCTGTTCTCAACATAGCCGTCCCCAACAGTGGCTCTGTTGCCCTAACCCTAAGGGTTACGGATAATCCTTTGTTCTGTCGTGCATTAGTTTCCGTAGACTAGCGCCTAATCCATTGGCTGTGACTTCACGATTCTCTGACAACCCGCCAATCCGACAGGAAGCGTGTGTTGACTCGAGGGGAATCTGTGTTCCGACTTCCACTATAACAAGGACACCGAACTCCGTTCCTCTTTTTCCACACGAGCCAAATCAAGATGGATCTGAGCTATGACACAGCTCGCATTAAAGGCAAAACCATACTTATCACCGGCGGCGCCTCAGGCTTTGGCGCTGGATACGGTGCTCGCTGGGCAGCGGCAGGGGCAAACGTGATACTCGGTGACATCAATCCAGCCGGCGAAGAAGTCGCCGCGCAAATCCGCCAGGACACGCAAAACGAAAATGTTCATTTCATCCAGCTAGACGTCACATCTTGGAAATCTCAGGTCAATTTCTTTCGCGAATCTGTGAGATTGAGTCCACATGGTGGAATCGATACTGTCGTTGCGAATGCTGGTATCAACAATAGCGAGGAATCTCGATCCTTCGAAAACCCACACGTCGACTACTTGAACGATCCCAGCCCGCCGGCTCCGAGTTTCAAGACACTGGATGTTAACCTCACTGGCGTGATGTATACAGTGCACCTAGCGTTGTTCTTTCTACCGAAAAACCCAGGCTCGATGCCGTGTGAACAGGAATCGGTTGCCTCGGAGTCGGGGCGAGATAGACATATCCTGCTCATGGGGTCCGTTGCCAGTTTACATCCGCTGATCACGCAGGCGCCGTATACCGTTTCGAAGCATGGGGTACTTGGATTGTTTCGGAGTCTACGTGTGACAGCTCCTGTCAGCGCTGGAGTTCGAGTCAATATTATCTGTCCATACTATACCGATTCCACATTTATGCAAACGCCTGTTCGGGTACTGTTGGCGGGGGTGCCACTCGGGAAAAGTGAGGATGTTATCGATGCGGCGTCATATTTGGTTGCCGATACAGCGTGTATTGGCCGCTCGCTGGTTACGGGACCCAAACTGAAACTTGATTATTCGACGGGAGAATTTGAGGCTCTGCATGATGGAAACGATAAAGAAGGAGCTGTTTGGGAGTGCTATCTAAATGACTCGGACCCAGCAGATATCTTCACTCAACGGATGCTCACGGTTGTTCATGCCGCTGTGAAGGCAAGAGGATGGGCTGGTTGGGTGTCTGGTATGGCTGGTGCATTGACGTGGCCAATCCGCCATTGGTGGACTTCAAAATGAGCACTTGAGCATTTAAGCGTGACATTACTGTATTTTTAGATACAGGACAATGTAATTTGGTCTTTTGAATAGAATGTGAGCTTCCTGTGACAGCCCTCAGCACGGTCAGCCTACGGCTTGGTAACATGCGGCTCTTGGCCACGTGGCGGAGCTTCCCGTACAAGGAAGCGGAACATGAGGCTATTGCGAGATAGGGCTTCGGCCCTGAGCGGTGCCGTATTGGGAAGCGGTACTGTATCAGGAAGCTCCGTCCACACAAAGGGCCTCATATAAAGGGCTACGCGTAGAGAGGCTGATTCCTTTTCTTCTTCCTTCCCCCTTCATGCTTGATATTCTTCGTAGACGAGCGCACCTAGATATTTACTCAATATAAGGTTTCGGCAGTGTCACACTTCCAAGGGTTACATGCTATGAAATGCCTTGCTGTGGCCATGCTTCTATATAGGAATTTCAGTCATGCACATGAATGGACTCTAATAGAATCATGAAATAAAAATAATATCATTAAAAAGCCCGAGTATTTCTTATTCTAACTAGATATTTTTCTTCTATATTAAATATAAATTCAGAGCCCTATCATAGTGTGAAGAACTACTTAAAAAGACTCTTAAAAGATAGTAATTAATATATTGGTGTCGGAACGTCAATTCATGTGACGTTGCTCATTTCCTAACTACGGAGTAGCCTATTGTTATGAGCTGACCTCATGAAGGGTGTTTGGGCGAAGCCCTCACAACAGCTACTCCCATGACATGAAGCTATTCCCAGATCCCGATTGCCTGCCCGGAACCATATGACACCCATCTATCCAGAGTCCCCGGAAGGAAGCCTGCCGGAAGCCCCTATTCCCCTTTTCCTTATAAGATTGTATGCGCGTGAAGAACCTGTTGTTTCCTTCCTCTTTCTTTCCTCATGTTACGTTTTCTATTCAGATATGCCCTTATAGTGAGCATTAGGCGGGACTAGCCCGTAACACCTATCGACGAGATACTAAACATACAGAAGAAAGAGAAAAAGGAAAAGGAAGCTCGTACGCGCTCGCTACTGTTTTATACGGTGCGCTGACGCCGCGGCGGTGCCTATTTGGGAAGTCGTGAAGTTCAAAGGCAACTCCCGTCCTAGGGCTCAGGGCTACGGCACGAAGTCTGACAACAGCACCGTATAGAACAGTAATGAGGCGCGTACAGCCGTCACAGAGTGCATATAAATAGATTCTTAAGATATAGTAATAACTAATATAGGCAGGCAGTAAGTATTTCTTTGCTGACCACCTACACCCCTTCAAGCCCCACCACACTATGGAAATCACCGGGGTCAACCGTAGTAAGTCCAGGCCCCGGAGTATCTCCGTGATCCATTAATCTCTACCTCGTACCGTCAGCAAAACCAGGGATAGCTAGCATATGCATATATCTAATCTCGGATTTGGGGGCTAGTATTTGCAGGTAGTTATATCCTGTGGAGGTCTCCATCGGTCTAAATGGTCAAGCTGACGCTGTGTGATTTCAGCTGCTAATATTCTACAAAGGACTGCATTATGCCTGAGACCTCGTGAGGCTTGAGCACTGGTACATAAGTTGCCCAGGTGGACATTGGAACAGGAAGGAAAAAGCAAAACGTGAATCCCGGTCTCTTGTGTTCCCGGGGGCCATCCTTCTGGTATGCAGTAATCCTACACTACTATGTAATTAATTCCATGGTACCTTCAACCAATTGCAAACCCCTTTCAAGCATATGAGGTATCCACTGCCACGTCTTGCGGCATTTGAGAGCCGTGCCCCGCAGCGGCCCGCAGGGTGATCCGATGGTTTTGCGCACGGCCGATCTACTTGTTCAAGGGATTCAACAACTGACCCCGGTGAGCTGCATGTTCCAACTTCAGATGTGATGAAAACTTCCCGTGGGGCGCCTGACCAGCACTGACGATCTGTGGAAAGTATCTATCTTCCTTCACTTGTGGCCCGCCTTATTCGAGCTCCTCCTCCTGCATGGAACTTTACTGTGATAGGTTGATTGTTTCTTTTAATAGCTCTGAGCAAACAGCAAACAACCCCTAATCAGAGAAAAGTGGAAATTGCAAAAATGGTGCCACTCCTTAGCCCCCACAGTCTACTCGTTTTTCGCATTCTGACCCCAGGTCTTCTTATGCTTTATTATTGGCAATCACCCTCCCTCTCGAGGTTCCTCAGTGTCCTTTGCCTTTTCACATGTTATGTCCTGTTCGGACAAGGCACTATCTTCAAAATGGCTTCAATGATATCACCAGTCGATTTGATGCCTAGCGGGATCGAACACGGAAATGGTGTCATGGTGGCTATTACAACACTTTTCACGTTTCTCGCAACAGTCGCGGTCATATTACGATTTATCTCTCGAAGGATATCCGTGACCGTGAAATGGGATGATTGGTTCAGCCTCATCGCCCTCATATTCGCATACGGATGTTTCATAGTCACGCTCCTTGACGCTACTATTGCCCACGGTGGATATGATATCGAATATTACAGTGCAGCAACATTGGAAAAATATCTCGAAGTAAGATATTGATTCTATCTCTTTACGACAGTCAATGAAATTTTGATTTGTCCAGATAACACTCGCAGAAAACGTATTGTACGTCGCGAGTATCTCGTTCTCAAAAGCAGCAGTCCTTCTCCTTTACCACCGCATCTTCAAAATTCAAAAATCCTTCCGCGTTGCATCGTGGCTCGTCGGCTTTCTGATCGGCGGTTACTTTATCACCAGTCAATGCCTGTTAATTTTTGCATACAACCCAACTGAAGCACAATGGAAACCATGGCTGCCACACTCTGCCAATTTTAATATAATCGCAAGCTGGATAGTCATGAGCAGCATCAACATGGTGGTAGATTTCCTTATTCTCTGCCTCCCGCAGCCGGTTGTGTGGAGGCTTAAGATGAATCTGAAAAAAAAGGTGCTTCTGTCTGGACTCTTTTGTTTCGGTATAGTGTGAGTACTGAACACAATCTTGCACTCCAAGGTTCAAAAAGCGAGATTAACATTGGAAGATCTAGTATCTGTATTGCGGACTTGATGCATATTATCTGTATCTCAGAGGTCGACATCAATAATCCTACAGGTATGTCATGGCTGCAACGAAGCGCTCAAGCTAGGTGCTATCGCTAACCTGCATTTCTCTAAAAGCCACTGAGGCCAGCACTGCCATTTGGCAAAATGTCGAATTGAACTTGAGTGTCATCGTCACTTGCCTTCCAACATTTCCAAGCCTAATCAGCCACTTGCGCAAAGGCCCTCGTAGTAGTGCGTCGAGGTCTTATGAGAGGTCTAATGATAATGAACATAAAAAGCCGCTCAATAACGGTGGCTTCCCTGGCATGGGAAACTCTACAGCATTTTCGGGGGGGTCCGAAAGGGAGCAGAACTCGATGAATAAAGCATGCCATGGCTCGAGCTACAACATGGATCACATGGGCCCGGTGCATGTACAAACAGATGTAAGAGTGAAATGGGATAGAGAGTCGCACCAGTCATCATGGTCGATTGTTTGAATATTCAAAATATTCAAATGTTCTAATGAAGAATATACGAAAGCTACACGCATGGATCTCTATAGCTAGGAGGGTCCATTCTACGTGGACGTTTAGCAAGGGTTTTGTTTTAGTATCCAAGCACTTGAGCACCAATTTCATACTTCAGACTGAAACAGTTTGCTCTTGATTTCTGCAAGCAATTTTCTCAAACCATAAATCAACTTGGAAGACCCCTCTGTATTTAAACTTCTTCCGTCTCGTAGGCCCCGATCCTGCGAGAAGGCATCATACCCAAGCTTATTGATAGTGGAACTTCCGTGGAAGCTTATGGGAAAACTGCCTGAATTGGAGAGAGCTAAAGAGAAGAGCAAGTATCTTCATGTGGAGAGTTGTTTATGTGAGACAGGTTGGGGCGGAATGATCATCCCCCTGCACACCGCCCACTACAGTCATAGTACGTATATGAATGCAAGTGAAAACAGTGATCTGGAAGTGCGATTAATAGGCAGATTCTCTCATAATGGCCTCCCGCATGGACGGCCTCCTGTGTGACAGCTCCCTGAGCTCCGAAGGTCTGATATGGCGCTGTTGGGAGTTGACCGGAGCAATCCGCACCTAGGGCAAGGACCCTAGGCGGTGCCGTAACGGGAATCTCCCCAGCGGTGCCATATTGGGAAAAAAGGAGAACAAAGGGAGCGCGCATATAAAGGAGCCCTTTGGCGAGGGGTGTTTGATTTCTTCTTCTTTCTCTCCCCATGTTCGATATTCGCTGTACGTAGGCACCTAGATAGCTAGATTGGCCGCTTGTCACATTGACATGGTTATATGCAGGATATACATATAGCTCTATAGCTATGTAGTAGATATGCAGATTTACAGCGAGTATTAGTATGATTGTGTAACCTAGAACACAATCACGTCACGTATAAACTCATTCTAAATAGACAAGAGAAACTCACAAGATGATCATAGTTAGATATCTTGAATGAATATCGCAACCGGGCAGTCTTAGAGAAAATATATGCAATCTGCTGGGCCACAGAATACTACAAGCTGAGATCGATGTCAGATTCATAACCAACTACTTACCACCAGACATGCAATATACTTGCCGCTTCTAGATATACCATTTAAAGGAGAGTCAGATGGGCATCAGTAACAATGATCTTGTTCATGTGTTTCTTCAGGATCACTTTTTGCATTAGCTGGAATCATTGAGCCTTTTAGGAAGAATTGCAGAAAGTATTACCCTGATTTGGACGTTACAAAGTGTTATGGTATATATTTTTCAACTTGAGTTTATTGTTATTCTTTGTTCTAACAACTTGACCAGAGTGACGCAGACACAGAAATATGCAGATTCCTTGATGATGCAATGCGATTTATTCGAAAGAATATCGCAATGATCGATCAGGCGCCTCCCCAGCTCTATGTATCGGCGCTTATTTTTACACTAAGAAGAAGCATAATTAGGAATAAATATATAGATAAAATTCCGAGGGGGATCCAAAAATTACCAGAAGTGGAACCAGCCTGGAGTACAGTGTTGTAGACCCTCGAAGGCCATTCTGATATAGTCACAGTAGTGGTGTTCTCTTCTGATAGCACATTAGTAGCTTTTAACTCTCATAGTGAAACAGTTATACTCTGGGATCTAGCTACTGGCACCCTGCAGCAGACCTTTAAAGGCCATTCTGATTGGATTACAGTAGTAGCATTCTCTCCTAATGGAACACTGATTGCTTCTGGCTCTCACAATTACCGCTCCGTACGAATCGAATCGAATCGAACTTTTTCCTAATTCGATTCGATTCGAATTAATCCTGAATATGACTATTCGTACGAATTCGAACCCACAGTCGATTCGAATTCGATTCGAGGTTCGCGAACTTATTTGATCTAGTCCCAATTGGGAAGGCGGTAAGAGATACTCGGCAGTACTTTTGTTCAACACCATGTCCAGCAACGTACTCGATTTTACATATATAGCAATACCGCGTACAATTTAACAATTAACTCTTATCAAATAAGAGATATAGGGAGAGCTAAGCTAGAAATATTCTAGGATATAAAATTTTACATAGTTTTCCTTGAATCTAACAAGTTGTCAGGCAATATGAACAGAAATCATTTTTTACTCCAAAACGTCAATCTCAGGAATATATCATTTCTACTCCTGAACTCCTGGAACATCACGAAAGCCTTATTTTAAGTCTATATTGCTTCAAATTAAATTAACTGACAGATCACACTTATTTACACGTAATAAATAAATATAGAGTGAAAATATCAACAATTGCATACATAGTATTGTCGAGGACTGAGGTGCAGTGAAAGAATAGTATTAATCAGGCTTAGCGGATAAACCACGCGGACACGTCTCCATGAATACGCGCTTTTATCCATAACAAGTTCAAACCGTCAGCTTTGAAGGTCATAAAACCAGCACTTTTGAAGAAGATATAACTAAAGTAAGTGATTAATCAAGGCACAAGATGGATATACTAATATTGTATTCCAGATGACTTCTCCACTTGCTCCAATATTCGAACTTCCCCATACTAGGAAGAAAAAACCAGTGATAGTGTTGAAATTGACTCACACATCATTCTGATTATGGCTCACATGCTTCGTAGAGTGGCAGCTGAACAAAGCTGCAACTAGTCCGGTGCGTGATAGCAAGACTAATGTGTAGTTGAGTGCCATCACCTACTCTGGCCCATTCGTAAGCTCGTTATGTGGCATATCTGTCCCCCAAGGCACTCTCGACTCAGGGCTGTTCGGACTATGCCTTGTTCTGTATAAATAGCTCCTGCTAGAAAAATATCATGTGCTGCTGTGTGCAAACACATTCTCGAACGTGCGAATCGCACGTTACAAACACCAGAATGCCTCCATCAAGGATGTCTTTCTCAGTGATAATCATTTTCCTATTTTAGTTCCGACACACTATTTCAGAAAAAAGAGCTCAGATTCTAGAGTGATGTGTCATCATAATCAATGCAAACGTTTTCTATCTAGATCAATTTTTCAGATATTTGGAGATGGTACCTAAATACTCGATTTGACCACTTCTATCCTCTTCGTATACATTGCAAACTAAAAAGTCTTGAAACCGTTGCAGACTTGCAGAAGGTAACTGCCAGTCTTTTCACATACGGATGTGATCATCGTTGGCAAGTCATATAATACAATAATATAATGTCCCGGTGAACTACGGTCTGCTATTAAGTGAGCAGCAAGCAACAAACAGAAGATGCCTCCAACCATCATTCCTTAGTCTTACCTAAACTGCACAAGAGCTTTTTTGTTGCAACACCCATTGCTGACTCTGTTTTTGTCCATTGCATATTTTCAGGGGCGGCTTCAAATCGCAAAAAGGAAGGGTATGGATGGACAATGTCATCTGCGGGCAAAGCCACACCCGCGATAAAGCGTTGAATTACTGGGTCAAGGGACTGGAGATGGGCCACAGCACTGGGGTACGCATTCCGGACATAGTTAACCAAGAGATCTAGTTTGGCATTAGAAAAGGAGCGATTTTTCCTAGTACAATGTCAGCATCCTATTGTCAGCGATGAGGGTCGGCTTACATATGACTCTTTTCCAAGTCTGATGCACAGGTCAGAATGACAACAAATCCAATACCACTTCCAAGCCGCCACCACCGCTTCCCAAGATTTTTATCTTCCACCACGTCCTTTCGATTCCACTTCTTGCCATTCTTTTCAAATTCACCGACCTTTTCTACTATCAAGTCGTGAACTATAGTCATCATTTTACGGCCGTTACGTTGGAGCACCACCTCCTGCTTGTCCTCTCTTTTCTGCAACTCTTTATCAAATTCATGGACAAAGATGTAAAGAAGGACCTGGGCTAGACGTTGATGTACTGGTCCGTGATGAAGGTTATCATGGGTTGATGCTAAAAGCCGACACGCAGCAAAACAAATCTCCGCCAACGAAAGGTTGTGGTAAGCCGGAAGCACAACTCCAGGTGCCTGACATTCTCGTGACAGCCACTCATTCCAGCCATTCAAGACAACATTAGTTTCGTCAATAATACGATCACCCATTTCATAGATCTGACGCAAAGTCGCAATACTAAATGATTGGCCGGCATTTTTCATCAGAGTCCTAAGTAAATTCAAGCGTATAGATTCAGCTTCACTGAACGGGGAAGAATGAGTCCCTGAAATAGTTCTGGTTCGTGAACGTTTTCGTTTATTACCCGAACTCAGCTTCTTGTTGGCGCCAGATTCATCATCATCTGTATTTTTGCGCTTCCGCGCGTTGTTTGCTTGATCGATAATGTGACTTCTGGATTGCTTACTTTGCTGCAGATCATCTTCCAGCGGACTTGTCGACACATGTAACCTGGCAATGAAGTTTGATAGGTCTTGTTGCAGCTGGAGGGATGGAGATGTACTATTGGAAATGCACCCAGTCCCAGGCTGCAAGCCATCTCGACTATCCGGTTCTAGAAGTCCCAGACTTTGGGGCTCACCAGACTCCAGTTCGTTCTCTTCAAGTGAAGCATCTCCTAGCTCTGTGCCTCCAACTGCACTCTCTTCTGGTCCTCTCTGGAAGTGCTCTTGTTCTACAACTGAGGATCCCTCCTCACTGGGTGATCGTGGCTGGTCAGATACTTCAATCTCAGCAACCACTTCTTCGCCAGACTCTCCTTGTTGGGTTGCTGGATTTGCGATCTCGGTCCTCCGCTCGGCATTGCTCGAACATGGTACGGGATCCATAAATTTCACCCGTGAAGCTCTGATTTCACTCCCTTCATGAGCGTCACAGCTGGGTCTACTAGTAACATGACGATCTGGCGGAAATGTTGATGATGTGGAAACGGGCACTCGGAGACTGTCAGAAAAGCCATGAAGCCTTCCAAAAAAAGCGAAATAAACGTTTCGCCGTACATACCATGTCGACACTGTTCCTGAGACATCCACCCCATCAGTGTGCAGAGGGTCAAGGAAGAGTAGCCTACGGTCGTGTCTTTGGGCCTGGCTGCTAGGAAGTCCACAGCGCTCTTTCAACCCGGCCGTAGAATCCACGAGGCTAGGGAACTGTGGCTGTTCGCGGGGCGTAGCCATTGAGAAACATTCCACAATGCGGTGGACTAAGGTGGGAAAGACTGTGGCATTGTATTCATACCCTTCCTGGTCCCGAGCGTTGAGCAGGACACTCTGTGCGATCATCACATCCGGGGAATGCATGATGAGCTTCTTAATAGCTGGGGACTGGAAGCCCAACTTATGTGCGAACATTGCCATCTCATAGATCACTATTGCGTCCAGCGTTTTATTTTGGGATTTCGCCAACGAGTTGGGTGTGGTCAATGTTCGTGATATTCTGGAGTACACACGCATTGCATACAGCCAAAGCTGTCGATAAGAAAGCTCTTGCTGCACTTCACGGCTACCGAACCGCCTCTCAAAGGTGTCCTCGGACGTCTGGATGAGACATCCTTCCTCGAGAGAATCACCGGGACTGTAACAACACCGCAAAGCCCGCCGCACCGTCGGCCCATTCTTGCTGAAGTTGACAAGCAATTTCATTGCATTGCCACATTCTTTCAGATATTCGATATCTCGAAAGAACGTTCGCAACGAAGGGATGATGCCATCGTAATCACGCAACCATTTCCACATCCGAGCTCTCTCAGATAAATTAAAATTGGAGAGAACTTTTCCGCTACGTAGCAAACGCTGAAGCTTTCTAGCGTCCCTGTACGAGGCTTTTGGCGCCATCAGCTCCAATCTTTCGATCGTGTGGGCGTCGATCTTCATCATCGCCTCAAGGTCAGGATTGGTCGGGTCGGAACTCACGAGGGAGACCCAGAATTCTCGGAGGTGCGAAGTCAGATAGTGCACGATTTCCTGCAAACGGTTAGCCCGGGTCAAAAGGAATGGAAGATCAAATGACCTCATCACAGCGCAATGCCATCACGTTGGCCACATGTTCCAAGCTCATCCCACCCCACAGTCCAGGAATCGACAGCAGGGCATCAAAGGCGGAACAAAGGTCGATGTTCTTGGAGAGCTGTCGGAGGTACCGGGCCTTATCATCAGTCAGGCGCGCCCACCACATTCTTTGAATAAAAGCATTCGGTTCTTTTTGGTACCGACGAATCTTCCGATAAATCTCTCCATCGCTTGGCTGTTCCTTCTCAAAATATCCTTCTGTGAGGGCAGTCCGTAGTTCATAACTGATATCTACAATCCCACGTCAATCGGTGTGGCGAAGGTAGGGGGTATGACTTTCCGGAGTAGACGTACTTTCGAGATAAATGTCGACCGTCCACCATCGATCACCAGCGGTAAGAACCTAGGCGCCAGCTCGGATACGATGTCGACCATGTAAGCAAAGGACTTGGCCAGCCAAGAATTGGAGATGAAGTAAATGATTGGGATCAGAGGTTAGCAAGTCCTTGAAAGATTTCCCAGCGGCTTGCAATGCCGCACGGAGGTCTTGCAGAGAAATGATAGCCGCAACATGATTTTGAGCATCAAGTCAGCGACAGCCTTCCTTTTGAAATTTTTCACAGAGCCGATCAATGATGTGCTGTTCGACTGATTGTGAGGAATCAGGATGAAAGCCGATTTCTTCGAGATCAATCTTAGCAGTTCCTTTGTAGTTACGACTTCGCTCAATTTCCAGATGAGCTTCAGCGTGCGTAGAGGGAGACTGCATAGTTCGGACTCTCAAGGCAAAGTCTTGATTTATGCGTCGAATCTACTCTCACTTGAAATCGAAACCCTAACCCCCTTGACGTACTACAACGCCCTAGCAAAGCCCTCCTTTATATGGCGGGAGCTCTAAATGGCGTCCGCTAATTCGAACGCCAAGGCCTAGATAACGGCCACCAACTCGCACTAGTATCGACACCAACTAGTACTGACACCAACTCGGTTTTTGACACCAATTCGTATTGACACCAACTCGTACTGACACCAACTCGAACTGACACCAATTCGTACCGACACCAACTCGAACCGACACCAACTCGAACTGACGCCAAGTAGTACTGACACCAACTCAGTTTTTGGCACCAATTCGTACTGACACCAATTCGTACTGACACCAACTCGAACTGACACCAACTCGAACTGACACCAACTCGAACTGACACCAACTCGAACTGACACCAACTCGAACTGACACCAACTCAGTTTTTGGCACCAATTCGTACTGACACCAATTCGTACTGACACCAACTCGAACTGACACCAACTCGAACTGACACCAACTCGAACTGACACCAACTCGAACTGACACCAACTCGAACTGACACCAACTCGAACTGACACCAACTCGAACTGACACCAACTCATACCGATACCAACTCTACTGACACTAACTCTACTGACTCCAACTCTACTGACACTAACTCTACTGACACCAACTCTACTGACACCAACTCGTACTGACACCAACTCGTTCTGGTACTAACTCTACTGACACCAACTCGTACGTACTGGCATTAAATCGTACCGACAATATCTCGTGCTGGTACTAGCTCATACCGGCACCGAATCGTTCCGGCACCGACTCGTTCTGACACCGACTCGTTCTAACACCAACTCCTTCTAACACCAACTCGTTCTAACACCAACTCGTTCTGACCCTCTGGTGGTCAAGGGAGACATCCGCTGCTTGTGCTATTTCAAATGCTCCGGGAGCTCACCAACATGCAAGTAAAGCAAGAAATGGAGACTGTAGAGAGCCTACCGAAGGTATGGTCCTTACCATCGCCGCGTGAGAAGCGAGTTAAACAGATTAGTCTTTGACCTGATCCTAGTTGCTCGCCGTCAAGCTGACTCAAAACGCTTCGGCCATGGGCTGAGTTGGTGAAAATTTCACGAGCTTGATAGCTAATGTGGTTCCTCTTTGGTTTTGAGAGGGCGAAGAGAAAGACGAAGTACGGATATGTGGTCAAATGCATTCTCTGCCAATGTCAGACGACGGAAGCAACACGGGGATGTGAGAAATTTTTAGCGTGGCAGCGCCGGAACGGCGCTGCTTAGGTAACCAACTGGAACACGCTATCCTGAAGCAGTTAGCGCAGGAGGAATACTTATGGCGTCACCCCTCGGGAAACGATCCAAATTTTTCTATTTTTGCAATTTCAGCCTTGTACGCGAGTCATATAAAAAGGTGGCAGTATTCATCTAGAAGGCGTTGCCTGACCAATTCCTGCCGCAAAGAAATAATCAAGAAAGGGTGCTATATAGCTATTAGCTCTATACAGACAAAAATTTGTTGTCAAGCTAGGCAGGTCAAGTAGCCTATTTGCAATAAAGTAAACGGCTTCCATATCGTGGGAAACATCCTTTGTCTTTCTTGTCTGTGTCATGCTTTTCCCGATATCTCCTGTCAAGTCATCAGCTGAAAAATTATAAGCATCCAATTGACTGAAAACCAATTACCCATTTTAACTTCGCCATCTTCGTGGATATATATATTATCACAATGCAGGTTGCCAAGGAAGAAACTTCTACTTTCCCCGTAAAAGGAATATACAAGGGGCCTTCGTAGGTAAATTCTTTGAATTCCTGCGGATCTTTACGCTATGGGAGGAACATGTTAGAAGTGATGAGTGATGAGGGGTACTATACTCACACCTAGGGCAGGTAAGCATGAGAAGTGACTACTAACCATTGTTTAGTCGAAGCACCATTGTATACATAGTATTCAACCATAATATATTGAATTGCTTCATGTCCATGTTCGAGCGGGGTTGATTGCTAATCACTCCTGGTCAGCTGCATATCAGGAGAGCCGGTTAATGATTGGCCAGAATGGAGCTTATATATGTACGTGATGTAGCATCTTGAATAAACGTACTTAGATACTCCGAAATATCCTTTCTCACTTGACCAATGACTACCAGCAGTAGATTCCTCTGTTCTAGTCTATTGGTTAGTCACGAAGCAAGGCATTGTTGCTTTGAGTGACACGGACAAATTAGACGACCTCATTTAGCGCTCATCCTTCTAGAATGCGAAGATGCGGGAACACATCTTATCATTGGCTGCTGCCGCTGCCTTAGCGCCGTTCTCAGTTCTCCTTTGTCCACGTGTATTCTGTGGCACGGGAATCATTCCTTCTCTTGATAAGTTGATATAGCTTCGCAAGCTTGAGATGGGAGTTTGGAGTTCCTCCCTTGGCTCTCGCCACAGCATAGATTTGCATCGCTCCTCTTTTTAACTCCTTTATACCAGAATGGCGGATCCATTAAGCGTCGCTGCTTCAGTGCTTGCGGTTGTAACAGCCGCTGCACAGTCAACCAGGTCTCTTTATGACACCATTAGACGGTTTCAAGATCGTAGCAAGACATTAAGAAGGCTGCAAGATGAACTTGAGGATCTTGCTAATATACTAAGTTCGCTAGCACAAGTCGTCACTTCTGAAACGACGATGTTGGAGCTCCTACAAAGGCCGATTGACCGATGCAGTCAAGTATGCCGCGACTTTGAAGCATCGATGAAAACGTTCAGCGGAAAGTCAAAACCAGGATTTCGAGACTGGACGAAAATGGAGTTTATGAGAGGCGACATCAACGACTTCATAGACACCATCGCGGAATACAAATCAACTATTTCAGTCGGGCTTGGCACTATCAACCTGTAAGCTGCGTTACTCGTCAAGCGGGCTTTACTGACTCGTTTTAAGACATACCTCCAAGATTTCCCACCAGGCTCTTCAAGAGTATAATGAGATGATTCAGGATACAGTCTACAACCTTGAACTCCGCCTGCGACGAATTGACGAGAAGATGGCACAATTCCCCCTCAATGACTGTGATGCTTCAAGTACAAGCATTGATTTGAAAGATGAAAGAGCTGTGACCCAACAATGTATCCGCGTTTGCAAAGATGCAAGGTCTTACATCGAGTCCCTAATAAGCCGCGATTCATCGTTACTGCCACATCTACATGTATCTCATAACGGCAGTGAAGACGTGCAGGGCATTTCCGAAGCACAGCAGAGAACACGCCAAGTTTTGGATGAAAGTCAAAGTCAGTTTGAAGACGTCATCGGCCACCTTCAAAGACGCCTCCAGTCCCTTCTCCTGGAAAGGGAACCAAATGATACGGAGAGGTTACGATTACAGGAAGACATAGATATTTCGAGACAATGTCTAGAGGTGTGTAAGACGGCTAGTGAAGTTTCTCGGCAGAAAATTTACAGAGTTGGGGAAGTGGTTGCGGATGGCGAAAGTGATCAAGTAGTGGTGACTACTTTAGCGGACCTATTCGATGTCAAGAAAGCGTCGTCCAAAGGCAATTCTGCCCAATTAGTCGGCTCAATGACTCCAGAGAATCTTCGACACTTGACGGAGGAACGTTATAAAAGCCGATTCGGGGCTCTAGCGGCTAACTCCGATCGTGTCAAAACTTCATCCACTGGCTCGCTACCTGGTCCCGAAGGTGAGAGAGGTAAATATGAATCACGAAATACAAGTGAGCAGGACGAACTGTCTTCTGAACCGCAAGCGAGACATATCAGGCCGTCTTCTAACGAAATTAGAAAACGGGCGACGGGTGGTGACAGATTCTAGTTTTGAGTTGAGGGCTGTTGCAGGCATTTCTTGTCGCTAGCTGCTACTGTCTGTGGTCTACGTGGCTTTTAAGTCATCACATCGTCTTTGACCAGCCATGACTTTTGTGCCCTTGTTCCTTGGGTTCCTAGATACCTTATGTAGATTTAATCTCTTATGGTCTATGTGTCTTACATGGAGGATTTGTGATGGCTGGGTTCTATCCTAGATGAACATTGTCCTTTGTTGCTCGTCATCGCTTGCTATATGTAGTGTCTCAAGTCTGATGTTTCACAGTATCTTCCACGCTGATTTAGAACTCATAGTGACAAAGCTAGTAAATTTTTCATCCAGTATTTCAAAATTGCATTTAAATGGCAGTTGGCTAAAACGGAAGTTCATACAATTTCCTATTGCCAAGGCTGCGTAATTATACTGTAGTCCTGAACTAGTGTCCTAGGGACCATTGGGATCGAATTTGAATGAATGAATGCTGTAGTGCCGATGTATCCGGATACAGCTGAGCAGATACCGCAGTAGAGAAATTCGAAGTTCATGGTACTGGCTGGTAGAAAACATAAACTTCGTAGATGTGGCCGTCACAAACTGTTGAGCTCAGGAATGGTATCTGGTGCTACCACACTGAAGTCCAAGTTGGTTGGGCTTTGTCCAATGAGGGCGCTCGAGTAGTTGAAAATCCAGACTGTGCACCCTCGAACAGCCAGGAAAGAAACTCCATCGCCCATTTCTATCAATAAGTCGGTCACAAAATGCCTACGGCGAATAGTTTGGCCGCAACGGGTCACCTGTCGCTAAGGCCTTGCGTAAACGCGCTAGACTGCAGCGTCAGAGAGAGGGCCCCGTCCGCGCTCCCTCGTGGGGAGGCAAGTGTCTTTGTATTGTAATGGCAATATGAATCTATGTACACAGGGAGGTGGGTGGGAAAATCAAGTCTTGACTGCGTGAGGATGACGAGCAACTTGTGGAGGTGAGCGGCTGACTCTCACCAGGCAGTTGTGAAGCAGCCTGCAGTAAGTGAAGGGTGAAGACTAATCCAGAGTTGTCAGCGTGCTACACCCGTGGATCTCCCTCCGGTGCGGATCAACTATAATCCGAGAGTCATGTGACCTCCGTAAAGTGTTGGAAATAAAATCACGTGACTAGCAGAATACAGAAGTCGAACTACGGAACGGTTCGCAAATACCTCAAAAATACCAGATTCCCTTTAAGGGCGTCCTTTTTGGTGAAATGGTATTACGTTTTAGTTCCGACATAAAGGGGTCAGCACAGCTGTAGTTAGCTTAGATTACCAACTAGCACATCAACAACAGTATGGTCGTCACGTGAGCCAACCCCAATAAAACAACCTCATTTGTTTTGGGAGTGGGTAAGACCAAAATTGTGGCTGTGTAAAATCCTACCCCATACCCAAGTTCACAAGGTTAATATTGTGTAACTGCCCGGCGCCTAGCCTCCAGTTTGTCTTATTCATCTTAACGTCCTTTCCACGATGGTTAACAAAGATGAACACGTCCTGCTTACGCCGTCGATGATTCCTAAATCACATAACTTCGACGTCAAGATCTCATCATTTTTTCAAAAATGGAGCGAGCTACCTTCCCCCGAAGCGGTTCACGCGCAAGCCAGATCTCAAAATCTCGGAGTCAACCCAGACAATAGGAAGACGTCCCCAATGACTACCCCATGCGTCAGGCCACCACCTGTGATATTCGAAGATATGGGACTATTTGTAAAGTGGGGAAGCGATGTGAAGCTATCCGAAGCCCTAGGTCTGTACGCCATCTTCCGATTGCTTAAAGGTCGTGTCCCAGTCCCTGAGGTTTACGGGTGGCGTACACACGGAGAAGAAAAGTTCATTTATATGGAGTACGTTCGAGGACAGACGCTAGATCAGGTATGGGAAAGTATGGAAGCCGTTGATCGGGCTGGGATTTGTTGCGAGTTGCGCGAAATCTTTGACCATTTACGTCGACTTGAACAGCACCCGTTGGACAAATTCGTAGGTAAGCGCGCTCTTCATAGTCTGCCAATCTCTTGTCCCTGTATTCAACTTTACTTCATAGGGAACATCACTCGAGGTCCTCTTTATGATAGAGCATTTCACATAAACTATATGTCAGAGGCAGGACCATTCGCTACAGTTCATGAATTTCACAACTGGTTCACGTTTCTTCATCGAAGGCCAATGCCCGATCCACACTCGGTTCCAGTGGAGCCATTCCGTTATGATCTTCCTGATGACTGTGGCATTAAGTTCACCCACGGTGATCTTCACCGCAGTAATATCATTGTCACTCCCGGTCGACCATATCGCGCTTTAGCTGTTGTCGATTGGGAACAGTCCGGCTGGTTACCTGCTTACTGGGAGGCCCGCAAGGCTCAGTATACTGCGGATCGGCAGGAAGATTGGTCCACGAAATATTTGCCGATGATCCTAGATCAATACACTAAGACGTGGGACCCATGGGACTACTACACTACGGCTATGGGGTGTTAGTATCACAGTGTATTTGTGCTCCACATATCGAGAGACAAGTGCGGATCGGTTGATCGTTTCTCAGTCCAAAGATAAATAAAGAAGGTTGCCCCCGGATAATACTACCATTCGGACTGTTGGAAGCTTACTACAAAGATGGCGTCATTAGTCCCGGTTAGTTGTGGTTTGTTCTGTTTGGCAAAGTATACTAATAAAGTCAAATTCCCTCTGTCTGCCATTCCCTAACAGCACTACTTATTGAATAACATGAAAGCCTTGCTGTCCACCCCGGGTTCATGGTAGTGTCCTCTTTCATAAGCATTTGAAAAACAAGATAAAACATATAGCAGATAAGTCAAACCAAATTGAGAATTACTCCTTATATGACCCTTGGAGCGGTTTGCACGACTGAGCTGGCGCTGCTTCCTATGAACCCTTCTTCAACCAGTCTGCGGACGTAATCCTGCAGCCAATCTTGACAATTAGGTGCCTACATCGAGGGTCAGTCAAATGCATTGTGGTGCCAACACGGCAAAGCTTACTGATGGATCGAAAGGGTTGGGACTGCGGCCAGGAGGCTGCACAGTGGTGGCCACTGATTCAAGTCGATCACGAGCAGTGGTGTCTGCTGATGCTCGTTCATTGCCGACGGTATCTGCTATATACTGTTCATTGACTTGGGCGAGGGGAATGATCTGGTGCTTTCGTTGCGTGACGCTGAAGTCGTAATTGCGCTTGAACTCCAGGAAGAAACCCGTGGCTGTCGTTCCTGTTACGTGAATGAGCCATCACGTCGACCTTGAAACAACGGTTCGGAAGTTCAGGTTCTATTTCGAGGCGGAACTGGGACACGGGTCAACTCTTTATGATTACTGGCTTTTCACCGATAGCATTGACGCGCCTTTAGTGGTTAAAGTAGGACTGGAATAGCACCGGCTTTACACCTCAATGACAGCGATGCGGAGCCTTTTACGTTCGGGTCTCTCCATTGGCAGGTTTAGTTCAGTATGTAGTCTCCCCACTGGCCTTTAGGCAACTCTCCTGTCTTAGGTATGATTCTTTTCCTATCCGAGGGCGCGATGCTTAGCACACAGGAGTTTAGAAATGACTTTGATACGATTTGAATGGTCAATGCATTGGGCACAGCAGGGTTCAAGTGCACCCGCCACTACTAGCCTCGATTGTAGGCGTACGCGCTCGGTAAAGTCGTATCATTTGCAAGGGTCAGCGGTGGATTAGATGCATATGCGGCGCTTAGTCTGTTTCGTTGTTGGCTTGAAATGGCATCTGCGTGGTGGGCATTAATATGATCGGGCACATGACCTGCTCTGATATCAAAGATTCATAGAATTAGTCATATAATGATGTTTCTATTCAGGCAACCTTCTCAGCGGTCTTGATGATTTCAAACCGAGTTCCTAGCCCCAGAGCACGGTATACAAGGTAAGACGTGAACCCGGCTTCACGAGGAAATAGCCTTTGATGCTTCTACACACAAGACTCTTATTTGGTTCCACCTCCTCAACAAAATGTCGATCCTATCCTTCTCCCAATATTGAGATTCTGATCGCGGCCTCAATTGCATATCCTCCAAGATCTTGATACTGGTCATGCTTTTCTTCAGATAGGCGCCGATCCAGTCATGGAGAACACTTGCGGTTCTATTCTCTACGCCCTGACTGCGACCTAGAATGTAGTCACGCCACTGATCGTTAGTCATGTATTTCATGCAAGCAGCAGCCTTGGTACGATTGCAAAAACCAGACGATGTAACTTTATAGTCGCTAAGTTGAAGTTGAAGTTAGCTCCTATGGCACGCTAGAGGTAGTTAGGTATCTACATACCCATAAAGCTGCCGAGAGAGCAGTTCTTTCTTGTTCGCAGTTGCAAGTTCTGGAAGGACGATATCGTCGAGAAAAATGGCATCCGACTTGTTGTCATCTAGAAGAAATCCGTCTTCATGTCCTGTAAGCATCACCTTAAAATAGTTGATAGACGTCAACGCTCACATTCAACTAGAAGAAAGTCGTTCGAATGTGATCCATAGCTGATAAATAACTCTTCGCCCTTCTCTATGCAGAGTGCAATGTTAGCTGCCTTCATTTATTTCTTGAGCCAGCTTTCAGGCTTCACATTTCATAACTTACCAAATCGTCGAGAAGCTTTAAACGTGTAATACTCGCCGTTAAAATTAACCTCACAAGGCTTTTCGGTCATGTCAGCTTGTGACTCATCTAAAGGGCTTAAATTCAAATTCAGAAGACTCACTGCCTTGTCATCATGATTGAAGTAATCCGCAAAAGGAACTAAGGCTATGGCATCATTCCAATCTTCAGGCTCGTCTTTCTCTGGTGACACATAGAAGAAACTTCTGGTATTCAGAATGAGCCAATTATATGAGAAGAAATTCCAGTCTGTGTGAGGGAACACCAAAAGAACCTCGCTCCATGCATCCTGCAATCTCTTTTTCTGGTGCGAGAGTATGTTTGTATATCTGGATCCATACTCAATATCCTCAGGTTTCTTATTACGGAAGCTCCACGATCCAGAAACAGAAGGAGGTAGTATGCTTTCGTTGGCTGGTAACATTTCCGACCAAAAGAGTGGCAAAGATTTTTCAAAATCATGCCTAAGAGGCCAAACCCGACGCCAATACTCCCATTTTTCTAATAAAACAGGGTCTCCGTGGGTGAAAAACGCGGCGAGTATCGCATGTAGCGGTGTAGCTTTGGAAAACATTCGAACAAAAGAAGGGGGAACGGAGTCGATTGTAAGCATCGCGACTAGAGGAACCGTAACAATTGTCTCGCCAGCCTGTATCCGGTAAATAAGTGGTCTTGTGGGAAGGAAAAGTTGGAAGACTGGTGAACGTACGGATATTCTTCTTGTGGCAATCATCCCTAAACGCCGACCTGGAATACCGGCAGGGGAGACGCCATGAATCTTTATCCCTTGAGATTCACACCAGCGGATGAAAGCAACATGTTCTTCGCCCAATGACATGTTCACGGTTTTCAATATAGACTTAGCACTTTAAGATACACATGAACAGAAGTGGTCTTCCGATTTCCGATTGATTATTGAACAAAGATCGTTGATATTTAACTTTGCTTTCAATCTAGCCTCCAAATCTTATATACTCCGTAGATGTCGGTCTGTTATATGTACGTTTCCGACTGATCATTCGACTAATTAGGTCTAGTGAGTAAGTGTTCTCACACATACCGTCCTTCACCGCCTGAGGAATAACCCTACCTGAGGAATAATTTCAACGGCTTACTGTACAGAATATTTTGAAGCTTTTACAACACCACATAATAATTAAGTATAGTGAATTTCTGGTGTAGCACTAAATAAGCTATGGCGAATCTAAAAAGCATAAAAGTTAATCGCGAAAACGTACAGGGGGCCGTATCGCGCGGCCCCTACGGTTTGTAGTAACAACCACCTCATTATCCTCCACATGAGCCTCAGGTTGCACTCTTGGCTTTGCTTGCCTAGAAATTTGCTCTGTGGGTTTTTTTGAAGCCTTTGGAGTTGATATAACATCATTTTGAAGCTGTAAATCAGCTAGCTTAGCCAATTCTTGCTCGTCCTTAAGCCGTTGCTTTTCCGCAGCCTCTTGCTCACGCTGCTCACGTTTTTCTTGTCGGATTTGAGCTCTTTTAACCTTTTCGGCATCTTTAGCTTGCTTTTTAAGCTGTTGTTGAAGCTTTTTATCATCTTTATGAGCCTGCTTCTGCGCGGCTTCGTCATTTTTTTGAGAAATAATATCACGAGCTTGCTGAACCTTAGTAGGGCTCATAAAAAGCGCTCCACCATCTTGTTCTGATGGTAAACCTAGTAATAAAGGCTGTTTCTTGTTTTTAGGCTTCTTTGCATTTATGAGAGCTCTTTTCAGGCCTTGATTCTCATTTTGAAGCAAGATAAGCTGAGTAGAAAGATGTGACACCGTTTCTCGAAGCTGTACAGCCTTTTCATCATAAATATTGTTAACAACAGTTTTAACAAGCTTCTCAAGCCGTCTCCAATCTTCTGGAGGAATAATTGAAGCTCCGGATTCGCTTGAGGATGGCCGGCTGGTGATTTTCTTGTTGAATTTGTTGATAACAATCTCCGGATCAAAGGGATATAGACCAGTCGTTCTGAATGCTGAATTGATATTCTTGCTTATAAAAACCTCATTCCAGCTAGCCCAAAAAAGGCGAAAAAAGTCACGTTTAGTGAGCCGGGTGAAGCCTTGGCTATCCCTTATAAAATCATCCAATTGCTTGTATAAGCGTTAGAAAGAGGCGAGAAAAGAGCGACATCAAGAGGCTGTAAAGTATGTGTTGCATGAGCCGGAAAGATTGCTAATAGAATTCGATTCGAGTCGCAGTATTCAATAAACTTCATTGTAACGTGGGATCCATGCCCATCGAGGATAAGAAGGCGCCATCCCCGGCTTGCTTGAGATTTTGTCTCTTTATCAAAAACATCCACCAACCAGCGATATCCGATATCATTATTAGTCCACCCTGACTCTGAGGCTGCAAAGAAGCATCTCTGTGTTTGGGGATCGTAATCTTGAAGCCAAGAATCCTGTATAAAGCCCGATTTTGCCATATAAATAAGACTAGGCGCTAAAGCAGTTCCATTGGCACAAATACAACCAATTGTGGTAATCCATTCTCGATTTCCATCCTGAAGATGCTGCTTATAGCCCCCTTGCTCATATTTGCGCCGAGTAAAGATTCTTTTCCGTTTTGTGCTTACTCCAAGCATGAAGCCCTTCTCATCCATATTATAGATTTGCTCTGGGCCGAGGTTATATTGCTGTATTTTCCGTCCAATAAGCTCAAAATATAAAGCATATTTATATGCCGAATCTGCCTTTTTTCTATCCGAATCAAGGCCCGTTGAATAGCGAGAAATCACCTTATCCGAATGAGCCTTGAGCCAGCGTGAAGCCCAGTTTTTCCCAGGCTCTTTACCAGATATTTCTCTTGCAAAGTTCGCTAACATTGAATTTGTAGGGGGCAGGCCTCGCTCGGTGAGTTGATTTATCCATTTTATAAGCGCTCTTGATTGCGTGGTGGTGAGTATTCGTTGCTTGTCGTATTGCTCTTCTTTTGAGCCTGTAACGCCGTGAAAACGTTTATAAAGGCCCGATTGGCTAACGCCGTATGTTCTTGCAACCAAACTAATATTAGGCTTTTCTCCAGGATCCGCTGAACGTAATGCTGCAAGTGCGAGCTCCATTGAAGCCATATTGGTTGATATATCGCGGTGTGAAATATTCGCGATTTTTCGCGTTTTGGGGTAAATTTATTCCTCAGGTGGGTTTATTCCTCAGGCGGTGAGGGACGGTATCAATGATAACGGGACGGAAAAAGATTTGCTTCTGTGCGACAGGGAAAGAGATCCATCCATACTTCTAATCACACACAGAATGGCTAGCTCGGGTCGACTCAACATTAGAGTCTAACTCCGTACTAATACTATCTTTTATCATCAGACAACCTGACAATAAATGTTCCATTGTAGCAGCCAGCTCAACTTTTCTTAGTAAGCTCACTTTTCTAAACAAGTCGCCTGCCGAAGTAGCAGTCTGTTTTTCGCTAACAAGTTGCAGAGTTGCTTCAAAGAACGTACTTCATGGCCACTGGTATATTGACTCTAAGTTGACGGCTATCTGACTATCCCTCGAAGGATTATTTTACCTGAATTCATTACGTTATTACGCTACAAGCGTCGGTTTTCGAAAACTCGCTCCTGCTACCCTTTCCGGCTCACAATTGCTTATCGGTTAAGAACAAGCATGTCTGCATCTCCGAGCAAGGACGAGTCAAGGAGCGATTATGTTGCCAATCGCACTCCTGTCGACGCTAATATAGACCACACTTCGTCTATGAGATATTGGAATAAGACCCCAGCAACGGTTAATGCCATGCTAGGTGACCTTGGTAGCTTCTCATGGTATTCACGTATTGATCTGCGCGGTTCGGCGAATTTCTTAGCCAAGGTTCGTCGATTAGTACCAAGTACTATGACTCAGAAAAGATTCAAGCTCGGTGTAGATTGTGGCGCAGGTATAGGACGTGTGACCAGTGGTCTTCTCCAGCAGGTTTGTGAAGTCGTGGATGCGGTAGAGCCAGTAGAGAATTTTGCTTCTCTTCTACGGCAAGCGCCGTTAAACGAACATGGATCAGTTGGAGATATCTATGTCACAGGCTTGGAAAACTGGTATCCTACGAAGAAATATGACCTAATTTGGTGTCAATGGTGTATTGGTCATATTACAGATACACAACTGACCGAGTATCTCGTGCGCTGTCGGGCTGCATTGACGGAGACTGGAATTATGATCATTAAAGAGAATATATCGTCGGATCCCGCCGGAAATGATATGTATGACGACTTGGACAGCAGCGTAACGAGATCGGACCGGAAGTTTCGAGAAAAATTTAAAGAGTCGGGGATGACCTTAGTCACATCGGAGATACAAGGGGGGTTTCCGAAGAAATACAAACTTCTTCCGGTCCGATCTTATGCCTTGCGACCGCAGACCAGGGCCTAAGCGATTTTCAGTGGCCAACGTTTCTGAACAATTCTCATACCATTGGACATTGGGAAGCCAATGTCGTTCCAATAAAACATTCGAACCTGCTGTTGCCGCTACGAAGCAGCGGATAGTCTTGTGCAGCGACATCATACAGTACGTAGCATTTTATCCTACGTTCGTGCTAGAAAGTTCAGAGAGCTGAACGATGTCTTTTATTGGTATATTTTTCGGGGAGCGGGTGGGGGGGGCACATCGTCTTGTCATCTCCGGAATAGCCTCGAATTTAAGTCACATCTACACAAAAGTTTTTATACTTCGAGCCATGTAAGTAGATAAATTATCAAGAGCGACAGCTGTAAAGAATCTGTAATGTGATGCTTCCATGCTGCGCTTGGTAAGTATGAATCTCTAGGTCACTGATCATCCTACACTTTCGTATCATATCACGTGTCCTACGTATTACTTCCGGACTCCATCTTTCCTTTGAGCCATTTGATGAAGTCGTAATGGTCTAGTGGCTCGAAAACAGCAGTTCCAATTTCCACCCTACGAATTCCTCGAACAGAAGAGAGTTCACGGATGCCAGGGTCAGCCTGAAAGCTAGCAATCGACATGTTTGATATCAAGTCGGGTTCGAAATAAAGGCGGAGAAATGCTAGCCTGCGGCATTCCTTCAGGAGTTGAACACATCTCAGCACGTGGAGGGCAGGAAGATGAGAATTGTTATCGTCGGATTCAAGGTATTTGCCCATTTGGTAAGAGAGGTCACTTCGGCTTTCCCAAGAGAACTCCACCGACTCAATGTTTGCTCGCCCGATCTGCCCGATAGAGATAATGACTTTGATAAAATCGTCTATATCATCCAGACGAAAGAAAGTTTTGCGGTACGCAATAGGAAGTGCCTCCTGACGTATTTGCTTGTTGACCAGGAGGACGCTGAGATCCTTATTCAGCGGGAAGAAAAAGCCAGTTGGATCGCCTAAAGCCCCAGCAAAAGTGGTCGAATTAAACTGATCAACATCTCCCAGCGTCCACTCGCAGCTAGGGATGGAGAACATATAGATTCTATCACGGAGCTCTCTCGGCAGTCTGAAGAAGATTGATGATGTCTTATAGCAATTATCTATTTGAAACTTTGACACTGATTAGTCCGCAAGTAAGATGATGGATATAAATTAATGTATACCTTCGTGACGGTCATAAATCTCGAAGTTTCGCTTTCGGTAAATCGAAGAGGCAGACGAAGCCCAGATTCATGATTAATTTGAATTATGAAACGATAGAGACCAATATTTTGCGAACATATTGCCACTACATTGTCGCCATGCGCTGAAACTATCTTTAAACGTAATAAATGTTATCGGACTAGACTTTGGATTATTGATCAAAGCTATTTGATGACTTACTTTTGGTGCACCTAGAATTGGAAGTCCATGCGATGAATCTGCTCCTTTAAGTTCCTGCTTCCTGGCTACGTCAAATTCCCTTAAAGCCCGCTCGTAGGCGCTGTTGGGGACGGGCGTAAGATCGGAGTAAAATGTGGGAATATCGTCATCAACATTATCTAAGTAGTCAAGCTTGTATCCTAGCTTGCTCTCAATTTGATCAATGGTAGGTAGCTGCCTTCGTTTAGCCATGTGATAAGTTTTGGGAGACTCTTCAAGTTTTCACAAGTGAAGACTTGGAAGTGATCCTAGAGGTCCAAGCTTTTTCAGGCTGCGTTCGCCGCCAAGCCAAGGTCTTACTAAGCAAGGTAAAAAAAAAGTTAAATAACGTTAAATTAAAACAACCGCAATACGCGTTCTAGTATAGATTTTCGTATGACATACTAAGTATATATTTATGGTTCGAAACGATCACTCACGCCATGTTTACAAGTCGTAATACTAATCGCAATACTAATCGCAGATGGTTAGTATACCAAGTATTAGGCCTTTGTTGGATGCGAGGGTGCAGTCGAGATCCAGATAGTGTTGGAAATAAAATCACGTGACTAGCAAGATACAGAAGTCGAACTACGGAACGGTTCGCAAATACTTCAAAAATACCAAATTCCCTTTAAGGGCGTCCTTTTTTGGTGAAATGGTATTACGTTTTAGTTCCGACACTACACAAGGAATCCCTTACGTGTCGGTTGTCACATATCTTAAGAAGAACAACAACTTGTACTACTCAAAATGAACTTATATTCTGTGTTAGGAAGCTTATTGTACTAATACTAGTGCAAGTACAAATGCATCCACAAAGTTACATTTTTCGAAAGATCACAACAATGTTTAGAAGTGCTTCATATTGATTCGAAGGCTACTCTAGGCATATATTTCTGTTCATTTTGGAAAGTGATCAGTTCCACCTCAAAAATGCTTGTCCTTTTCCTGGCGGCATGCTCCTCGGATTTGCAGGTGCTTGATTCCTTCAGTAAAGATTAGACGATTTCACCTACTAGCATCTGCGTGTCATTTCCGTCATTGTATAACCGCTAACTAGCTCCAAATGTACTATGTCTGTCCCATACTCATGACCAGTGCAGTGTCTGTGAGCAATGGCTTCAGACACAATTGTTTAAAGAATATCTCACGCTGGCTTCAGTGTTCTCCTAAGCTGGAGTGAGTTACAATCCCATAAAACAAACAGAAATGGGCGTGGCCATCTCCTTCGTCAGAGACTGCACGAATACAAGAGGCGCTGTAACTGAGTAGGCGGAATCTGGTGGCGAACTGGTCCAAAACTGCGCATGCCAGGAGCGTAAGCCTATTAACATGAGCTGATAGTGAGGGACTAGTGGTTGACATCCTGTTTCGACTTGTAATTCAGCTGGACACTTCGTTGGCTATAGCTCAATAATGATACTTGGTACTCAGCATCCTTGACCAAGTCCGCATGATAAATAGCGGCTGGTTTGTATCTAGGAAGACATAAGTTACAAGAGAGAGTGTAGCGTTTGAGGCTTCCTGTTCAACAGCTAGGGCAGCCTAAGCGCATGGGAAGCTATGCATTTGTAAGAAAATGGGTTTTCTTTACGGCCTTGATTCACTGAATTCGCAAAGTGTTGTGCCCAATGTGCCAAGGTTTTCGAACCACACGTGTTTAATAGTCTGAGACATGGTAAATCAGTATGCATGAAGAGTCTGATAAGTAACGGAACTAAGGGCTAATACAGAAACTTACCTGCAGGTATATTTGAACATATGTGTTCTATGTCTCAGCAATACGACAAAGATCAAGCCAAATGAGGCCTACTACACCTCCGAAGTGTCACGTAAATGCTTCCGAATGCTCGACATCCCCCAGCCAACAATTCGAATAGTCAGACCGTTCCGAACTTATTCACCTCTTTTGCACTTTCATTCAGAGCCATGGAACGGCGGTTCGTTCTTGCTGAAGTCAACGAAATCGGTATCCACTGATTGAATATCGGTGGGAGCAGTTTTGGCGTCCTTCGGTCGCTTTGAAGGATTATGTGCACAAATCTCACATTGCTTCAGAAGACGTATAACATCCGACCGCAAAATACCATAGTATGATCTGCTGATATCCCTCCATGTGTAATCCCATCCAGCATGGCCGTTATTCTCATGAACATACTCAACTATATCCGCAATCATATCCTCCGTAACCACGACACGTTTCTCTCCCCCCTCGGTCTTTGGACAAGCGACTAGAAGTTGTGTCGCCTCCTCCCAGGTAAAAGTCTTCCGAACGTAGTTACGTCGACTAAACTCGCTTTGTGACGACGGCCGTTTGTGAGGATTGGTTAACCATTGGATGATGTTCTCTCTCTCTTCGCAAGACACACGACGATTATTTGGACTCTCGCTCAGATAACGCAGAAAAGATTCCTTCGTATCATTGGCGAAAGTAACATACGGTCGTGAGGCACTGCTCATTGTGAATGACCGATCCGTCAAACTGAGGATTTAACGTCTGCAAGTGTACAATATACCTCCACCTGAGGTCATATACGGCATGTACGCCTCCAGTCGAGGGTAGTCTCGACTGGAGGCGTACACCCCGCCATCCCAGTCGGTCCGAACCTCGAGATTCCTTCATGTAAACAGCTATGAAAGACGTGCATCGTACGCTTATTTGGCTCCAGCAAGAATCCGAATTTCCACGATGTCTGCAAGTCCAAATACCCATCTGAATACCCCTCTTGCTTCTGATATCAATGTCATTTGGCAAGCAGCGATTGATCGCTATGAGCAAAATAGCATGACCAAAGTTGATTTTCTCTCTGCGACGTCCGTGGATGACATAGTAAATGCGCTTCAAGACAAAGGAACGGTATTCCGGAATTTTAGGCACAGTGGTTCAAAATTTGACAAGTTCAGAACCCTTGTGACCAATATCATGAATCGCATCAACATCGTAAGTGATGTGGTTGCGCAGCCAGCAGTTAATGTCAGTAATAGGCTTCTCCTGCTTCGCAATCAGGGAAACCTAATCTTTGATCAAAATAGGCTTCTCCACCTAGTGCCGCAATATTCGTAGCTATACGCTATGTCATGAGCGTAGGACACATCTTTCCACTTTTACACCTCTTTCTCATTGATCGCAGGCAGTAGTTTCCGTATCGGCAGACTACGATAAGATTATTGAGTTTTTCGAAGACCTGGATTCTTACCTCAGCCGGCTCAAAGTTCTTGAGGTGGATATAGATATGTCGACCCTGCCAGAACTGAAGAGTGTTCTGATAGAAGTCCTCGTGTCAGTGTTGGATCTTTGCGGGATCTCCGCGAAGCATATTAGAATGAAGCGAATCGGTGAGCCTAACATATATACCAACCCCCAACTGGACTTGACTTGACCCTAGCTTCCTAAATCGGTTCGACTCAGCCAATCCTCATTTTGACTGGAGCGATCAGAGGCATGGACTGACCCACCGGAAACCATAGTGAAAGCGCTTCGAACCTTAGCTTTAGGTGAAGACGAAGAGTTGGCATCCGCATATGCTCGCTTCCATAGAGCGATAGACCGCGAGGAGGGAGTTGTCAGAAATGCCACACTTGTGGCGGTAAACCGGCTTCAAAAGTTATCAGTAGAGAATAACCGTACTTTAGTGGAGAAGACGGAACGTGTTGAGAAGCTTTTACTAAGTATAATACCTAATTCGTGTTAACTTCCAAAGGTCTAATTGTATTCGCAGGCAGAGAGGCAGCCTCTGAACGTGATAACGTTCTTGAAAAGTTGTCAACACACAGCTTTCACGAAAAGCAAAGAGACACTTTTGAAAAGCATTCGGAGGCCACCGGACAATGGCTGTTAGAGAGCACTGAGTTCCAGCAATGGTTCAATGGCAATCAGAGTTCGGTCCTCTGGTGTTATGGAATCCGTATGTCTCCTTCTATGGACGTTTGTTGTAGTAGCTAACTTGCGATGAAGCTGGGGCGGGAAAAAGTGTTTTCACGTGAGCACCCTCCGACGAAATGGTTAAAATACTAAATCAAGCAAGCCACTCATTATTTTACTTAGATCCATTGCAGTTAATTATGTTAACGATGCTACACATGCAGCAAAAGCCGCTGTGGTATACTTATATATTGACCACAAGAATCCAACAACACACTCCGAGTTCCAACTTCTAGCAAATATATGTCGCCAGCTTGCGGAACAAATTTATCCCATCCCTTCTACAGTGAGAGATTTTCTTGAAAAGAATGCAGTAAGGAAAAGAAACCCCAGCGAAGATGAATGGGTTTCGCTTATCGTGCGTCTTTGTTCTTTGTTTGCTAAAGTTTATCTTTTTGTTGACGCCTTGGTACACCCCTCCACTAAGACAGCATATCCCTGTAAGCTGCTTACACGTGGTCTAGGACGAATGCCCCGAGAGAAATAGGCATAAATTTCTGCATTCAATGAAGAAACTCGAGGGATCTGTCCGTTTTTTCTTTACCTCTCGTCCTCATATAGATGATCTCGCTCATTTTACGAACCTTACCCGAGTGGAAATTTCCGCAAGTGGATCTGACATAGAGACTTATTTGGAACTTGAAATCATGAGCGATACGAGATTGTGCAAGCTTCTTGCTAAGGACTGGGGATTGAAGGACTCTATAATTCAGCTTGTGAAATCAAATGCTGCTGGCATGTCAGTCTCATTGGATCCCTACTTTCTGGCTAAAGTAACCAGGTCAAATAGGTTTCTACTTGCCTCTCTGCAGATGGAACTCTTGCGTGGTCATAGTAGTTTGAAGAATGTGCGAATAGCTATGAATGCGCTCACAGCAGATGTCGGCGAGACTTACCACTCTACCATGGAAAGAATCAAGGGTCAAAGTCCGCAGGACTACGAGCTTGCACAAAGGGCACTTTCATATATTTTTCGTGCGATGAGGCCACTCAACGTTGAAGAACTGCGCCACATCTTAGGTGTCGAATTGCAAGATACCGAGTTGGACCAAGACGCTTTTCCGGATAAAGATATACTACTCGGTGTTTCCGCTGGCCTGATCAGGGTTGATGAGAAGAGCGGCATCATAGGCCTTGTCCATCATACTCTCCACGAATTTTTTTCGAGACACCCCGAGGAACTTGTGTCTGATCCTGATAACGAGATTGCGAATGTTTGCCTTACATATCTATCTTTCGATGCTTTTGAGAGCGGACCGTGCTCTGACGGAGATACATTATCGCAGCGCATGCAAGAATATCGACTACTTGATTACGCCGCACATAATTGGGGATACCACGTCCAGAAGCAGCTCCACAAAGAAATAGACTTGATCTTGGCATTTCTTGAACAAAGCAGGAAGTTAGTGTCTTTTGTCCAGATATTGCATGTCACCCGGTATCGGACCAGAGACTGGTACGATCGTTTCCCTAGACAATTTGGGCCTCTTCATGCCGCGGCATATTGGGGTCTGGAGGAGGTTCTAGGCTATCTGTTAGAGAAAGACTTCGATGTTGATGAAAAAGACAGTAAAGAATCGACCCCACTACTTATAGCAGCTATGAATGGACGAACAGAAGCGATCCGCTTCTTGCTCGACAAGGGTGCGAACATCAATGCACTGAATCACCGCGGGGAATCAGCTCTGTATTGGGCGGCAAGAAATGCATATAGAGAAACCTCGGAGCTCCTTCTTAAGAGAGGAGCTGATCTTATCAAAGATGATGAGGGATGGTCAGCACTGAACTGGGTGATCCTTAACGGAGACGTTGAGCTAGCGAGAGTGTTATTCGATAGCAGTGTCGATCTAGACGCTGGAGGAGATGGGAGAAACGAAGCACTGTTTCTAGCAGCTGAAGAAGGAAAAGACGTACTCGTACAGATGCTCCTTGATAATGGAGCCTACATTAATGCTCGGGACTGGGTGGGCAGTACAGCTTTGGATTTTGCGTCCACAATAGGCCACGAAGCTACTGTACGGGTCCTTTTGCGGAACAACGCCGATATTAACTCGAGAGACGAGTACTGCAACTCGGCTTTACACTGGGCATTGTCCTATGAAGGAGTTGTACATATATTGGTTGAAGGAGGCGCCGATGTCAATGCTAAAAATGACGATGGGCACACTCCACTCTGCTGGTCCGCCCAGAGTGGGGCAACATCAGTGGCAGAAATACTGCTCAACAATAATGCGGATGTCAATTCACAGGACATTTCTGGACTCACAGCCCTCCATAAAGCGGCCCTAGGAGGGTATGAGTCTATGATACAATTGCTACTGAAACATGGTGCAGAACCTAACCTCGAAGATAAGGATGGGTGGACCCCTTTGCATTGTGCAGTTGTGAAAGGACATGACACCCTAGTACAGTTACTAGAAGACAAAGTCGAACATGGACGGACTATTGTTGAATCATTAACAGCAGAAAGACATGATGCCAGGAAGCGAGCTGTATTAACGAAACTCGCAGACAAAAAAGCCCAGGGAAGTACGGCACTTACTGGTCTACGCTTCGCCGCACAGGAGGGCCAAATTGGTAGAATACAGAGCATGCTTGAGAAGGGTGCAGATATCAATGCGAGGGATGCTGGAGGCTGTACAGCTCTCGAATTAGCCGTTTTCCAACAGCAAATGGAAGCTGCTGTGCTGCTCCTCGAACACGGTGCGGATCCGAACAAATGCGGCTCCGATGATATGCCACCGTTATTCTATGCTATTAAAGGGAGAGACGAGAGGATGGTACGTCTGCTTATTGAACATGGAGCAAATGTTACCACAAGGATCGACGACTCCACATTGATGCATCTTGCAGTAGATATAGGAACCTTTGAAATAGTGCAGTCACTTATTGATGCAGGTGGTGATATTCATGCAAAGGATATATCTGGACAGACAGCACTGCATTTTGCTGCTGCGAATGGCCAAGAAGCGATAACGCTGATGTTAGTCCAGGCAGGAGCTAACTTGGACGACACTGACTACCGCGGAAGAACACCACTAATGCTCGCAACGGAGAGCCTGGAACCAGCCGTGGTGAAATTACTCCTGGATAACGGAGCATCAATTGGAAAAAGGAACCGAGATGGTTATAGTGCGATTGATATAGCAAATATTTTGGAGAGCGAACCCATCATGGAGTTATTACTTGAATGTGAGTCGCACAAAAACGCTGGTATTCAGGAGGCTTTCAATGAGCTACGCGTTTCACGTCCTAGCGTTACAAAATAGAAGTTAGGACTGGAATACAGTAATATGTCCATGTTAACTTGAATCCTAAGGCCTGAGACACATTCAGTGCAGTCGACACGCTCACTTTTCTCCCAAATTAACTCATGGGAAGCAGAATAAGTTATAGGCTCAACTAGGCATCTGTACTTCTTTCCCTTTGCCACCACCCTTGTATATAAGCACTTAGATACCCCCCTCTGTTTTGTGTTGATCACTCATGTTTCATGATACAGCGAAATTCAAAAACAGCTTCTGCCTAGATCACTTTTCTCTTTGTTCGAGTCACACTACCAGACCTACATGATAGTAATCTAATCTAATCATTCTCAGAAAGGCCATTACATTGAGAGAACAAGTAGTGGAATTGTTCACACGCTTGGTATCCAGTTGAAATAGAAGAATACAACCACTAAGAAAACCTGATTGTAGCTTCAGTCTCATGAGCAGCATATATTAGATCTATACTCTGGCTCCCACTACAGTACAACGTCCATTATACCCAATCCAGTGGCCTTCGACTGCTACCACAGTGCTCAAACATTGTGTTTGGGAATCACTAACTGCAATGGAAGGATAGGAACCTATCGTTCTTCTATTTCTTATAAAAACTTCACCATCCGGTGAGAAGGCTAGTGTTGTTGTCGAGAGTTTATGGTCAATTCTCACACAGTTGGAACCAGAATATAACTCCATGACTGTGGAGAAGTAAAAGAAAAACAGAACAAAAAGTCAGACTATCAAGTATTTTAGCATCCTGGGATGCCGAAATCTGGACACTGACTGCGACGCTACAACCAATCATATATCAGGAGGAATCACAAGGTGAGGCGGGTCGGTAGAAACGGCTCGCTATCAGGTTATGCCAGTACGCTTCAAGAAGACTGATGGTGGGTCATTCTTGGATTCCAGGAATTGTAGACCGGTTTCTACCTCCTCGGCGAAATGGTGAATCATACATACGACTGTACGTACCCAATCATTGATGAAGGAAGCATTTGCGTCCCTTTGTCCTCTATCGTCCTTACGTATTAGATAGAGCTCATTCAACGGATTAGTCTTCGACCTGATCCTAGTTACTCGCCGTCAAGCTGGCTCAGAACGCTTCGGTCATGGGCTGAGTTGGTGAAAATTTCACGAGCTGAATAGCTAATGGGGTTTCTCTTTGGTTTTGAGATGCCGAAGAGAAAGAGGAAGTACGGATATGTGGTCAATGGCCATCTGGAAATACTGAGTCTGATTACTGTGAATGAGCTAGGGGACATTGATCAGGTTGATAGATGGGGAACGAATGCATTACAATGGGCTTGTGTGCAGGGACATTTTGAGATAACGTAATCGGACACCGAGCGGGCCATGACACCGAACGGGCCAGTTCCCTCAAGCGCATCAAAATATTTCTATACACCAGCTTTCAACACGCCATCATGCCACCAATATGTACAAGAAGCATACAAAATTCCAGCAGTCAAGAGGGCAAGATACTACTTGCTATATCCAATTTAAAAAATAGAAGAATTCGATCTATAATGTTTCACGTACAACTCTCCAACGCCGACTTGCTGGTATCCAATATCGAGGTGAAAAACGCGCCAATAGTCATATATTGACTGAATATGAGGAGTAATCTCTTCTAAAATGGATTCTTGACCTTGATAAACGTGGATTACCTCCCCGGCCATCTCTCGTACAAGATATGGCGGATCTGTTTCTTTCCCAGCATGGCAATAAACATGTCAGTGAAAGATGGGTCTATCGATTTGTTGACAGACATCCGGAAGTCAAACTACGGTTTTCACGAAGATATAACTACGAGAGAGCAAAATGTGAGGATATTAAGTTAATTCCACTGGATGGGCTTTGCCCTCATACGTTATCTTCAAAGCAACAACCTTTTATCAACAAGGCTGGTTTGAGACTCTTCCACAAGATTGGAGACTTGATATTAGTAAAAATGGCTGGACAACAGATGAGATTGGAATACGATGGCTTCAAAAATACTTTATTCCTCTTACGACAAGCCGTACGAAGGGGAGATATCGGATGCTTATTCTTGCCATGGAAGCCATTTGACACCTCAATTTGATCAAATATGCACTGAAAATAATAGTATACCAGTGTGTATGCCACCTCATTCCTCGCATCTCTTATAGCCTCTCGATGTGAATTGTTTTGCTGTTCTCAAACGACAATATGGACGCCTTGTTGAGCAACGTGTACGGCTTGGATTCAATCATATTGATAAATATGACTTCCTTACGGCTTTTCCAGAGGCTCGTACAATGGCGTATAAAGCCGAAAATATTCAGAATGGCTTCAAGGCAACTGAATTGGTGCCATTTGATCCAGATCGTGTTTATCAAAAGCTTACAGTTGAACTTCGCACTCCAACACCACCTCCCAGTCGATCAAGTAATTCACAATCCTCTTGCCAGCAAACACCTCAAAATCCACGTCAATTCAATCGTCAGACGGCAACAATAAAGAAGATAAATGAGCCTACAACAGGTCCATTTGAGGTGGTTGATCAAGCGATAAACCGGCTGTCCAAAGCATACGAAATGAGCAGGAATGAGCTTCTGATTATACAGAAAGAGGTGCATGATTTACGGGCTGCAAATGAGAAGGAGAAGCAAAAACGTAAACGATCTAGAGCACAAATATCTCATCAAGGATCTCTTACAGCGCAGGAAGCCCAGGAACTAATAACTAGTCGAGGTGAGGCCTCTCAACCTCTTCCGGCTGCACCAGTCGAATCCGAACCTCAGGCCTCTCAACCACGCCTACGAGCGCCACCGAAATGCAGTGGATGTGGGATTGTCGGGCATAGAATCAATCGATGCCCAAATTGTACTACTACTTAGAAAATTGTATATATTTTGTATGTGGGTTAGAAATTCAAGCTTGAAATTCGTATAGAGTGCGTTTTCGGAGGGAACTGGCCCGCTCGGTGTCCGATTACGTTAGTTCATTGGCTACTCGAGAAGGGTGCCGATGTCAATACTCAGGGTGGAGAATTTGGCAATGCTCTCCAGGCTGCTGTCGAAGGAGGACGTCTGGAGATTGTTGAGCGGCTGCTAGAGAAGGGAGCCGATGTCAACGCTCAGGGTGGATTATATGGCAATGCTCTCCAGGTTGCTGTCGAAGGAGGACATCTTAAGATCGTTCAGCGGCTACTCGAGAATGGAGCCGATGTCAATGCCCAAGGTGGATACTATAGCAATGCTCTGCAGACTGCTTTTGCTGAATCGTGAGAATAAACAGGTACTGCAAGAAAAGTGCATATATCTGTCGCGTAATATCGTTCAGTATATCATTTTCAGATTAGCTATATCATAATGACGCTCCACATAATTATCATCCATTCGAGAATAGCTGACTCTGGAGAGTATGCTGAGTCCCTTGTATAAGCCTTGCTAAGAAATGAATCGACATACATCTACAGTCCTCTTCACTGAACTTCAAGTCACTAGATGTCGTATAATTTAGCAAAAAACCTATTGAGATGCCAATCTCAACGATTTAGCCAAGAGAACAACATAATCAATAATGACACATGGCATCTCGAAGGGCTTTCGATTTGTGATTCTTGTCAAGCCAAGTATACTAGATTCTCTTACTACTGGAAATTGGATCTTCTATTTCCTTCGTTGGAGATAACTGACATTCCATTACTCATGGCTACAGGATCTATTGAAGAAATCTGAGTCTATTCTTTCAACTTTCTCAGTTCAGTGCAATAGTGCACCTGCAATGACGATGGGCTCCGGTATGAAAATTGTTGCGCAAATTGATCCTCAATCATGCCCCAGCTGAAATTCTTGCTTTTCAATTCAACGATAAACGCATCTTCTTCCGGTGAGAATTTTCGCGATCTAACCGTAGAATGGCCTTTCTGTCGAGATGGCCGAATAGAAATCTACCGTCAATCGACCCCTTGCACTAAACTTATGGCTGTCATATGCTAAACCATTCTTACTAGTTCTTTACTCTGAAACGTCCAAACCTCAGTATGCTTTACCATTGAGTTCACTCCGGCTTTGACTAGGGCGCAAAAGCATAATCATCACCAATAACCACTAAATATGGGAAGCTTTTAGACCCGTCAACCATGCTTCTGGCAACATAATCATAGGTATAGCTGTTGCCTATAGTACAGGCGCCGGAGACCTGCTTTGCGGGTTGAATTAGATTTCCACATCTTGTGTTAATGTCCTGGCTTTCCTGTACGCTTATATCAATAATCTGGATATGAGCTTTGACAGTCTTATACATACAAAGTTACAGAAGAAAATTGAGGATCTCCCTTCATGGGATACACGCGCACAAGTAGCTGTGGGCACGCTGCACGTAACATTGGCAACATTGGAGAGATGGCCAATGTTGGAGACTGTCTCATTAACATGGGCTAGACCATATTGAAGAGAGCACATTGGCTCAGCATCCTAAAGACGTGTGCTCATTAGCTTTATTACAACTAAGTTCGATGTTACTTACAGATACTCTTGGGAGAAGACTCCAATCATGACGGTGGTGTTTCGCCAGGAAGGTAGTCGTGTTCAACACCTTTGCTGTCAGCTATTGCTTAAAGTATTTGGCGTAGGGTAGGTGGACTTACCAGTTTGTTAAGATTAGCATCATATATAAGAGAAGCGCCTTGGACAACGCCTATCTAGAGAGATGGTCAGCAAGAGATGAAGAAACTCAATGATAGAAGCACAGCCCACTGACTACTGTAAAGAGTATGCAAAGGATAATTGAGTCCAACTTTATTGTGCCTTGCTCTATTGAAGTTCATGTGGGATAAGCGTGTCTCTAAGTGAGGTACCTATATATATAGTTGATAAGCAGCCATAAGACAACCATTGCACATGGACTGTAGAAAAACGGGTTTGAGTCATTTCAAAGTCGTGTTACTCAGTGGACTGTAAATGAGTCCAGGGGGACACCCAATGATTTCAATGGGAATACCCAGTAACCTACCAAAGGGGATCTAACTGAGATACAATGGGAACGCTTACTGACACGAAATGGATCATATACTAAACCTAAACGGGATTACTGACTGGCATCAAATGGGAGCGCCTGGCACTAAGACTGCAGAAAAAAAAAACAATTATTTCCATGACTTTTTACTTCCATGTTGGACCACGTATATATTCCAAACAAGCTCATTCCGAGCAAGATTGTCTAGTGACACCCAAACAAGAACATCTACTTGACCTCAAACGGGATATCCATCCCGAACGGAAACACTTACTGACACCGAACGAGAACGTGCTGACACCAAACGGGAACACAACACTGACACCAAACAGGAACACCACTGACACCAAACGGGAACACCACTGACACCAAATGGGAACGCACACTGACACCAAATGGGAACGCACACTGACACCAAACGGAAACAGTGACTGACAACGAAACGGGAATATTCACTGACCCTGAATGAGAACATTTAGCGATTATGAATGGAGATACATAGTACTCCCAACAGGAGGACGCCGCTGATCTGAAACGTGCTGTCATTGACCGAGAATGGAGAAGTTAACGTGTTTCACGGGTAAGCGGCGCACCCGGGTAAGTGGCACACCACATCAAAATTCCATCCGGATTTCTAGCAACAACTTTCCGCAGAACCAACAGCATTAAAAAATGGTTAAATCGCGTACGAAAAATGATCCTAGCTATGAAGGGAGGCTTTCTCTTGCTATTGATGCGCTAAATAACGAAAAAATCACGAAATTACGCGACGCCGCACGCACTTTTGACGTATCTTTAACAACACTGCGAAGGCGCCTGAAGGGCTCAGTTCCAGCGCATAATGCCGGTATTACACGCAGAAAGATGACCCCTACAGAAGAAGCTGTACTCCGGGGTTGGGTCTTCTCACTAGAGCGCCGTGGCGTTCCGCCTAGGCAGCATATGCTCCATGAAATGGCAAATATTTTGCTAGCTCAAAGAGATCCTACCAAAATACCTGAGAAGGTTGGTAAGAATTGGGTAACAACCTTTCTTAAGCGACAACCGGATCTCAAGGCTAAATTCGCACGCCGATTATCCTATTCTAGAGCTCTTTGTGAAGATCCAGTCGTTATTGGTGGCTTTTTTGAGGAGATTAAGCAGCTCAAAGAGGAATATGGGATTGCCGATGAAGATATATACAACTTTGACGAGACAGGGTTCGCCATGGGGATCTCTTCTACAGCAAAAGTTATATGCAGCTCAGATCGTTCAGGAAAACCTAGCCTCATTCAGCCAGGAAATCGTGAATGGGTTACTGTTGTTGAGTGCGTTGGAAGCACCGGCACTGTGGTGCCTCCCCTGATTATATTCAAATCCGGCACCAACAGAGCTGAGTGGTATACAAGCCCAAAGCTTCCCCCTGATTGGTCAATTACGCACTCTCCAAATGGCTGAACATCTGATGAAATCGGCTTACAGTGGCTAGAAAGGATATTTGAGCCAAAAACGAGGCCTCTCACAGTTGGTACCTATCGGCTTTTGATACTTGATGGCCATAGCAGCCATTTAACACCGGGATTTGATCAGGCATGTAAAAATAATAATATTATTGCATGTTGCATGCCTCCTCATTCATCTCATCTTCTTCAGCCTCTAGATGTAGGGGTGTTTTCAGTGTTGAAGCGCTTGTACGGGGCCGCCGTTGAGAGCCGGATTCGGATTGGGATTTACCATGTTGATAAGCTGGATTTCTTAGATATGCTTTACAGCGTACGGATCCAAACTTATACCACACAAAATATTAAGAGCGGCTTTTCACACACTGGGATTGTGCCATATAATCTACAAAAAGTCCTATCTCAGTTGCAAATTGCTGTCCGGGAGGCTACTCCAGCCTCAATTCGCCCTAGCACGTCAAGCAGCAGCACCTGGAGCCCAAAAACGCCTTACAATGCCCGTACGCTAGAAAAACAGGCCAAATCTGTCAAGAGATCTCTCAATATGGGAGATTTAGACAGCAATTCGCCATCGTGTCCGGCTTTTAACCAGTTGATCAAGGGATCCCTTGTAGTGATGCACCAAGCTGCCATTTTAGCTAGGGAGAACCATAACCTACGCGAAGCAAATGATATTTTACAGAAGCGCCGCACTCGCCGTACAAAAGCCCTACAAGCCGATGGTATTTTGACAGTCGCTGAAGGCCGAGAGCTTGCTCAGGAGCTTCCTGAAGAGGCTCAACCCCCTCCTCCACCCAACGGGAGCGCGCCTTTGCAGCCAGCTCAACGGGCCCTACCAAGGTGTAGTAATTGCTGGGAAATAGGGCATAAGCGCAATCGCTGTCCAAATATATCTACATAGGTAAATATTAATTTATTCACTGTTTGCATATAAATTGTACGAGTTCTTTGAACCAAGTGGGATGCGGCTGTGCCACTTACCCGGGTGCGCCGTTTACCCGTGAAACACGTTAACTAAGTTGATACACGTTGATTAATTGAAATGAGTAAAAATATGCACCGTTTTTGCAGTTGAGCCACCAGTGGAAGCAACATTCTCTGGAGCAATAAAAAAAATCTTGCATCGGCACGCGCGAAGGTAACGTGACCTGGGATCCTGGTCTTTATTTGCCGTTTTGAGTTGAGGATGCCGTACGAGGACTACACCTGCGCGGATATTAGTTAGTCCGTGGCTGATAGGTCACATAGTTATAAAAGAAATCTCTGGCATAGGCTGCCATACATAATATAGTGCAAGGCTGTGCGCGCTAATTTAGTAAGGGGACTCCCTTGGCAAATCCTTATATCGAGGAGAGGTTGATATCCAATAAGAGCCTTGGAAAGGATTTATGTGCTGCCATCACCATATCCGGGATAGCCAATAAACCAACGAAACGCCGATATTTCCCACAGCCTATTATTTTCACTTGGTTACATGCAAGGCACAGGTAGCCTGCATTCAGTTATGCACCAGTATAATAAATCAGCTTTCTCATTGGCCTTATTTTGGACAAATAATTCTAGACGATCTTGAACATCACTTTTCCTCTCCTCGTTACGCATGAATTTCTCCACTGGAAGCTCATCTGTAATGGAGGATAAAATATTGAGTTACTCTTGCAACTATGTATATATAACCCTACTATCAAAATTGTTATTTAGAGTTTTTGCTGATTACTAATAGCATAACCTGAGAAAAGTCTTCCTGAATGATACCCACTGCATGTAGAGAATGGACAAACATACCATGGATATCGTAGAGCAATCTATATGTGGCTGTATGATGAGCAAGAACAGGATCGCCTTGATTTGCTACACAAAGTTATTACTGAAGCCAGGATAGGCGATAGGTTGCTATATGCTCCTCATCCCTTCAATGCACGAGTGCTCGATCTTGGCTGTGGCACTGGAATATGGGCTATCGATGTCGCTAATAAATATCCAGAGGCTTTTGTGATCGGAGTGGATCTTGCAAAGATTTAACCACTTAACTGTCCTCTAAATTGTGACTTCTATGCGCCCTGTGACTTTGAGGATCAATGGACCCTAGATGAAGATTATTGGGATGTGATCCATATGTAAATAGGTTGTGGCAGTATAAGCAGTTGGTCTTTGTTATATTACAGAATATTCATGTATCTATAACCGGGTGGCTGGTTTGAATAAGTTGAGATTGACTTCGCACCCCAATGTGAGGATAGCTCTTTGGAGCATACATCTATGTATAAGTGATACCAGTGGCTTCAAAAGGCCATAGAGATGTCGTAGCGACCTATTAGCCATAGCATTAAAGAAACAGTATCTATCTTGGAAAACTAGGAGTTTATCAACATTGATTATCAAGTAGTCGGGTTACCTATGAATCCTTGGTATATAGATGAGCATGAAAAAGAGGTGGGCAGATAGTATAACCTCGCGATTTTAGAAAGTGTAGAAACACTCAGCTTAGCTCCCTTCTGTTGAGTATTAGATTTCTCACTGGAAGATGTTCGGTGTCTGGCTACTGATGTTAAGAAGGAAGTCAACAATAAGAAGCTGCATACTTATAATATTCTTTACATTTATTAAGTGTAGAAACCATGTGAAGGATATTGGATATGAGGGAATGTTATGTAGACTGGCTGCAGTTCCAGTCTATATATCTAGAGTTTTAAAAACAGAAGATGGCCCATCATGGAAATTATATGGAGCATATATCTACTAGATTTAGAACATACTTGTCGCGACTCCGATGCTCTAATACTGTTTATCGGTGAAAGTGTTGAATCTATTGAAAAGCCAGACCTCAATAGCAAGATTAAGATGTGTCAAACTAGTCTCTAATAATACAATTCGCAGCGATAATACTAGGTAGTTAAGTAGAAGAAGTAATGAATTTGCTAGCATAGCTCGGTAGTTGACATAATTGCTATATAGCTCTCTAAACTCACAGCATTGACATGCGAACTATCTCTACTATATAAAAAGGATATTACACTCCATCGCTAAGACTATACTAGGGTCGCCCTACGAATTGGATGAACATGATATGCATTCACACAGGCTTATATCCTGGAACTCTATACTGGAACATAACGATCTGGAAATTGTTGTGACTGCCGTAGGCTATATTGGCGACTGGGAGTTGAATTCTCAATATCTTGTAGAGATTTTTCTGCAGCAACCCTTGGTTGGCTAGTTCTCGGTTTCCTGCGACCTTTTGTCTAACTCTTATGCTATTTATCCTTTAAAGCCGTGCAGTATCGTACTTGAAGAGTGCTTTTCGTTCTTCCACGAAAATGTGCCGCTATACATGACCATGGAAGCTTTTTGATCTCTTTAAGATGTATTATCAGTTTGTCTTCTTCGAGAGTGTACTCGTTGCCTTTTGATGATATAGATATTTCTATAAGGTGGGACAGTTCGTTGTCTTCCATAAAGCTATCTTCACCTGGGGTTAAGTGTTCTTCGTGAGATAATTTGTCATTCTGTGGAGGTGTATATCTCTCTTTAAATGAATAGCTCCATGTATACCTACAAGGCTTGAGTTCCTAAGTGAATAAGCCTTCAATGTTAATAACTTGAAGGTCAGACATGCTGGTCTACTAATCCTGCTTGTTAGCCTGCTTCTAAAATGAGGCCAAATAATCAGACAAGGCAGGGCTAAGAGCGGTTGAGCCTTGATCCTCTGTAAACTAGCAGCAATACCCAGCTTGGCCCAGGGACACTTTACAGAGAAGATGACCATCAATGTGGATTGTCTCTGGATTGGTTAAATTCTATACCATGGATTCTAGACTTGGCTGACTCTGTAATGATGCTGTTGAATGATCTTGTTCCTGTAGTCTTCTTTAATACTAGTAATAAGGATGTGTGCCAGCGTCAGCCCACTTCTATCTTTTTGCCGGACGAGATTCTGACTTGAGGTTTATTATCTAGTCTTCTGCATGACTGTGCTCATGGTAGTTACTATCCTCTAAATTATTGCTTTCTGTGCTCTGGGCTAAGGTTAAACAACATGAGTGCTAAAGGGTATGGGGTATGTTGCTGGATTAGAGATTTTAAGTAGGGTCTGTAATTAATAGATGTTCAGATATTGCTCTTGCTGAAGTAGATTGCTTTAGTTGTGACTTATTTAAATAATGCTTTCTTACTAATCCTGACGTTCAGCTATCAATCTGCTGGAATTGGATTGGTGCAAAATCGATCGCTATAATTCCATTGGTTGGAGGGATTTGATGTATAATTAGCTGACTATCGTTGTCCTCCAGGATAGTGATAGTTGGATTGCAAAGGCATATTGGGTCAATGATTAGAATAGTGTTAATAGGACTAATTGATACTTAATCAATAGAGTTCCCACTAGGCCATTTGGTTAGGACGGTAGATTTATTTGCAATATCAGGTGGCATCTTCCATATTGGACTCTCTAGAATAGTGCTACTGTGTTGCTCACAGTTAGAATAATAGAATGGAGCATTCAATTCTGAAGATCATACTGCCGCTAATTCTTTAGCTGTTAGTATTTCCATGTTATTTATAAGTCTAGCTATGTTCTTCTCTCCATTGATATAGTAGTTATTGCAAGATCTCTTATCTACTGGAAAGACATTGTTAGGTTCAGTATACTAGCATTTAAGGAGGTCACTTTTACTATTCTAAGATTTATTCTGGGATTCATTCTGATAAATTGTGGTGTTACAGACACTATGTTCCTTGGAATTAATAGATATAGCTGCTGCCGGCTAATGCAAATCATTGGATTAAGTTTGAGTATACACCGTTGTAAGGTAGATATAAGGAATAGAAGAAGGGTTCTCTTTAATAAGAAGGCTTGGAGATGTGGGCTGCACAGTCGATGTATAGGGGCAGGTAGTGAGAGGATAAGACATAGAAGAAATCATATGCGATTGAAATGAAGATATCCCATGAGGGATTGCTGATAACTTAGATAGCTTTCTAGGCTCACGATACTAGTATATGACCATATTGTTAAGGGAGATGTCTGCCATAGCTGGAGTTGCATAAGAGAGCTGAATAACGGAAGAGGCTGGTTACTTATGATAATAAGATTTTGCTGTATTCTCTGGTGGCCTCACTGGGATTTATATAGGAAACCTGGGAAAGGCTTGAATCAATATTATAAACGTCAATTTTTACCGATTTTGGTAATCCCATAATAGGAAAGATAGGAAAGAAACAAACCCAACTTGTAAGACTAGCTTCCCTAGGGTCTGTCACCAAATCTGCATGGACAGGCTGGGTAATTCCTTGAATAGGAAGGAGACCAATCTAGATTATTCCAAATCAATATGTCGCGCGGTTCAGCCCAATCAGGATGTTCTATTGACTACCCTATTGTACCCAGCAGTAGTGGAAGCTATTTTGGTCAGTAGTTACTAGCAATATAGTTCTGATTGTGGGATTTTTCTTATTGATAGAGAGATCCAACTAGGATTACGTAAAGATCAAGAATTAGGTTCTATAATCCTAGTATAGCCTTAAACACTGGACCTTCACATTATAGCTGAAGGGTATGGTGATGGATCCTAAATTAGTGGATCTATGAGCATACTAAATGCAACCGTGGCGTAGTGTAGAAGGCCCTTGATTTAACAAGCTCGTCTTTCGCTTTGTAATTTTCCACCAAGACGACGAGACAGAGCTCCAGTAAGGTGACGGGCGAGTTCCTCCACCCTTGTAAAGCGCAGTCTCATAGACAGAATTGCCCTGTTGATAGATAACAACATAGAGATAGAAATGTCCTAGATGCAACACTAGCAGAATACCACAGGCTCTTTCTTTAAAGCTAGCTTTTCAGCTCAGTGGATATAGGAAGCCACCCTCCTGTATAGTTTCATAGTTATATTTGGATATCACCGTTAGAAATCAATTCATGCGCTCTACCCGCCTGAATATTAATCAATGGAATGCCTAATATTAGTTAGTCGTAGAATACTAATTTGGATGGGACTTCAAATTAACCTTCCTTCAAGTATGATTGGTAATAAGACAATCTGAGACCCTCAGAATGACTTTAGATGGATAGAAAGAGGCAATACTCGATCTAACTCATATAATCCTTGCACCGCTAAAATCTTCATGTAACTAGTTCAATCCTCATTGAGCTACGTATGACGAAGCCTGGTATATTCATTGACATAGGAGGACGCTTCCATCCAATTAGCTAGAAACTCGCACTCTTAAGAAAGTGGAATGCACTCAATAGAGTTCCAAATTCCATCCGCCACGGTAGCCAGGTAGATGTTATAATTCATTGTATCCTATATCATGCCCAATGAGGAGAAGATATGCGAGCTCCAGCTGTGTCTTTCTCTACTGCAATACACACAAGTCTATAGGGACTACCCAAGACGTAATATTTAGTTAAAAGGTAGACACTCAGAATGTGGTGAGATGGATGTAAGGTTCAACGCAAGAAAGACATCCCCTAACTACCAGTATAAGCAGAAAATTGTACTATATAATAAGCTTCCTCAAATCTTAAGAGTATATCTTATAGGTGTACTCTCTGAAGCATTAATTATGAGGGAATGGAGAGAATAGAAACATCTAATGTAATAATAGCACGGTCCACCAGCCCAGTCAAGGATGAATTTTTCAGCTGTGAGACGGCTCATGGGCTGCTAGTGAGGGCCGTGGATGTGCAAAAAGTCGAAACGAAAGGTGTGTTAGCTAATTATTCGTCGCAATAAGCCCAATATGATGTGACTGACTCGCGTAATGTTAAGTGCTCAGAACCTTTACATGTGACAATTGTCGCACGCTCCACAGGGAATGCATTTATGACGAGTCGCTGGGTCAGCGTCGGCGTGTACTCGCCAAAAAAGCGGCTGCGGAGCTAGACTGTTACTGCAGTATGATCGACGATCTGTTAAAGTAATTCGAAACACAGACGGGCAACAAGCGCAGAGGTTCATGAAAATGGTTCGAAGCGATGCCACCCTGGAAGAAATTAGTCTTTTCATCTCGGAGAATCTTGGTCATCGTCATGCCTCAAAGTCGCCAAGAAGAGATAGTAGAACGCCGTAGGGTCTTCCGAGAAGAGCTTTTATGCTGCAAGCTCCAAAGTCTTCCAAGTGATGGACATCTAATATCTCTGTCATCTATCTTTTTAGGGTGATCGACTGGCAATAGCACTCTTCGTCGTCATTTGGATCTGTTATATCTGGCATTATCCATTCCTACTCCTGCTGAGGTTGCAAGAACCAGCTCTGAGCTCTGTCAACTGAAAGACGAAGTCCTGCCTACCACTACTCTACGTCTAATTGTGCCAGCTTTTAGAGAATTCCTCGTGCATCAATACCACATTCTCACCATCCCCGGACGAATTACGACACGACCTATGTGACATGCTGATATGCGCCCTAGCGGATATGTATCTCCTGGTAATTATTCGCGGGTACGCGTGGGTCAAGAGGGGTATTTGCAAATTGTAACACCCCAGGTCATAGTCTGCGAATGTTGCTCAGACGGCTTGAATTTTCGATGGACGATATATAGAAATGATCATCCGTTGTCTCGAAGTCTGGACGAGCCGATCAGAGGTAGCAAACATTGGGAATATGGCGAAATGCAAGCCACCATAAAGGTGACATCATGAGAATGTGAGAATGCTGCGAATGAATGAGGCTGATTTAGTAGCTTCAATATGACGGCTTGGCAACCCCACTACGTGAGTTATTACCTGTGGAGCCTTCCTTTTACCGCCCAATAATAATTACACATTTTAATATAAAGGGGTAAATTGGCATATTGTTGGATTAGCTAAGCTGATTCAACCAATCAGATAGAGGAGATTTGTCAGCCAATAATAGCGAGCCACACACGGATCCACCGAATAGGGGGTAAAAGATATCTTCCACCTGGACTGTACTTAGAGACAAGAACAAGAACAACAAGGATCAAGGATTCCCACATCTTGTGCATACATAATTTGATACGTTGAGATAAACCGCTAGAGATTGTTACATACAATCTAACACATATATATATACATTGAAAACAACCACCGAGCAAGAACGGTGCCCAGATTTTTGCATATTCAATTCGTATTTTGTGAGTAGATTGCAGTTTCCTCTCCAGTAAGGGTATAATACGGAGAGAATTTGGTAGCCCGTTCCTTGCATAGTGGTAGTTTCATCAATCAAATTCTTAATAATGGAATGAGCGCAATGGTAGGCATAGTCTACGCGTGAGAGTCTACGCGTGAGAGATATTGAAGGGTAAAGCGCGAGCAGAATGCAGGGCGTGGAAGTAGATTGGACGAAGCAAGCATGGGGACAGTAGTTGTACGAAGAATCGATAGACATGAAGAATCTTGGTTCATTCAAAGCGTGTCCTTGGCAACCGTGGCCTTAAGTATTTAATGAGTAGCAAGCGTCGCCAATTTACAGTAACATACAAAGACCAGTATACAGCAGTCGAATATACCACAGCCCGACTTACAACGCCAACATAATCACAGGGGAGTTCAGAACCATGTTCATCAAACCTCTCGTATCTGCCCTTCTCTTCTCTGCCGTCATCAATGCAGCGACGGCGCCTCTCCTCGGGACTGCTGCGTCCTTTGCAGTTCTTGGGGGCCAAACAGTGACAAACACAGGTCCGTCAGTGCTTAACGGTGATCTTGGAGTCAGTCCTGGGACAGCAATCACGGGCTTCCCCCCTGGTACTGTCAATGGAGCGACCCACGCTGGTGATGCGGTCGCACTTCAAGCACAGTCTGATTTGACAATTGCATATAACGATGCAGCTGGCCAAGGACCCGTTGCTACTGTGGGGACCCCCACGGGGGACCTTGTTGGTCTAACACTTCCTCCTGGTGTATATAACACCGCTAGTAATGGACCAATAGCTCTCAGTGGGACTCTCACACTCGACTGTCAAGGAAACCCGAATGCAGTCTGGATCTTCCAAACAGGATCCACGCTCATCACTTCCACCGGCTCCACAGTTACCACGACTGGTTGTGCCAGGACTCCTTGCAATGTCTTCTGGCAAGTGGGTAGCTCAGCGACTCTGGGAGTTAATAGTAATTTTATTGGGACCATTATGGCACTCACTTCTATCACGGCCAACACCGGCGCGCAAGTCCAAGGACGTCTTCTTGCAAGAAATGGGCAGGTGAGTCTAGACACAAACAATATCAACATTCCAACGTGTGCAACCACTACGTCGACCACCACAGCGACCACAGCAACCTCTACGGCGCCCGTAGTGACCATTACGCTGCCAGGAGGAGGAGTCATTACAGTACCCGTTACCGTTCCCATTTCGGTGCCTATTTCGGTGCCCATCGGCAGCGGCAATAACAACGGTGGCGGCATCCTCAGCGGCAACGGTAATGGAAACGGTAATGGCAACGGTAATGGCAACGGCAATGGCAGTGGCAATGGCAGTGGCAACGGTGGAAATGGCAACAACGGCAATGGCAATGGTAACGGCAACAACAACAATGGCAACGGCAATGGCAACAGCGGCAACGGCAACGGAAATAGCAAGGCTGTCATATCAACATCGCCTACATCTCCTACATCGTCTCCTACATCGTCTACATCGTCTACAATATACATAACTTCCCCCAAACCGTGGAAACCATCAGCAAACAGCGCGGAAAACCACAACGACGACCAAAACAGCAACCACTACGGCGGTGCATACGATAACCGTGACCACCATACCACAGTATCAGCAGCATCCACGACTCAGTATACAACTTTCAAGATCCAGGCATGTAAAGCACCCTTGCGGTCTACAGCACCCGGCAGAAATCCTGACCGCGCTGGCAGTAATGCCTGATATGGTACAAAGAAGAGACCTGTAACTGATTTTCCAGTGTTCGGATAGTGGTAATGGCGTTAAAACGGGAGGGTTTTCAGATAAAAAATGAAACAAAGCATCGTGTGACCTAAATGCAGTTCAAAATCTCTCGAAGCTTCCATGGATGAATTGTCTCAGGGTTAAATCTTCGTGTAAGAAGTGACATATATCTGATGACTTAGTCTGTTCATAGTAACTACTATCTCCGTTGGAACATCAACATGAAGGAGACCCACAAAAACATATCACCATTTATCATCGTGGTATGGCGTTGCTTCTCGTTCAAACCAAAGAGTAGCCTTCCTTCTACCATTATGATTAGGGTCGTACTTGAAAAGAAGCCTCCCACTTGAAAAGAAGCCTCCCTAGTGCGGTAGTCTCCAACTCCGTGGCTTGATTGCGCAGAGGTGTATACTTCACTTCTCGCTAGCGGTCGCCAGTGGCGAGCGTGGGCACAAATCTGTTGACCAAATTTCTCATTGCATTCCACTGTGGTCGGTATCCCTCAGGGTTTTGGTCTGAGTCCGTGTCTGGAATCCTAAGATAAGCACGGATATAGTTGTCCTCAAATTTTCCAGCCTGATTCCTTAAAGATACTTGTTCTGGTATGCGCCTATTACGCCCTACTCCTTGTGTTAGACCTAATATCACGGTCCGACGGAAAGCCTCTTCGGCACTCCCGTATTCATCTATCCAGGCTTGGTCGGGGCTGAATGAGATGCTATCCCAGTAGTGGCCAGTATAAACTCCCTTTCGACTGATGATGGCCAGTGTGGTATAACCGCATAGGAACCCCGTGCCTAGGCTGAAAGCTTTGTCCCCGAACTGCTCAAACTTAGACGTGGCCATATCCTCTGGCTCCCCGTTGACATCCTTGTCCCAGACGATGGCATCAAACAAATCACTCTCTTCTTCAGCTAGCATGAATCTATCCATTGCCGCGGCATCTGTGCCATCAGGAAGTGTCATCGTCCTCCGGTATAGTGTGACGTTGGCGGCTTGCGTGTCAGCAGAGAAATGCCGCTTTTGAGTAGCGGCATAGGTTCGTGGGCTACATTTGGGTCGTATGTCTCGCTTCTCATGTTGAATAAACGGCAGTACCAAAGCTGATTCGACGTCTTGATAGTTCAGTCCATTTGGTGCGAGTGAAATGGAGGATGGATCGTCTCCAGTTGATGCTAATCGTTTTTATCAACCAACTGTAACCTCATGGTCAATAGAAATGTACCTACAATCGGAGTTCCATGCAAAAGCCCGGATGCTTGCAAGGGCTGACAGAAACAAGCAAAATTTCATACTGGCTCTGAGCATTGAAGTATCCAGGTTATGTTTTGTCCTGTGGTGTTCAAGCAGGATGGGAAGATAAACCTAGTATTTATGTATTGGTGGGCTGAATATCATTTCGTCTTTTTGTAAAAAAAAAATTATATAAATGGCCGTTTCAGGGTGAGTGAGGGCTCTCCAGTCTTGTAGAGCCACAGTACCTATTAAACCGCCAATGATTCCAAAAGAGCTTTTGCTCGCTGGGCAAGCGGCAAACACGGCAAGCGTCACTGCTCTTGATACAAACTTGGAAAATCTTGGAACATATTCTGGACCCCGCTTCACTCGCAGGGGTCATTAAAATTGGAAAAAGCAGCGGCAAGTACGTCAAGTGACTAAATACCACTTTGCAGGATATATCCATGATTCAAAGTCAACATGTATCCATCGAATCATGAGGCTGTTTCCTATAATGCATTGACTGTGCCGCATTCATACAGCCTGGATTGTAGTAAGCGCTGAAGAATTTGGGGAGATGCTCTAAAGAATAATCAAGATAGTTCTCCTCGAAAGTTAGTCCTCAATGAGCCTCCCTAGCTTCTTCGTGAGTGTGAAGAGCATCTGATAGGCTTAACTGTTGAAACCGCGGTGAATCCCAATAACGATTGTTGGCATGGCACCCCATGGAGATTTGACGGAGAGCAATGTCGAATTAAGCTCAATGGGGGAGACTCATCAAATGGTTTGACGGCATGATCCGGGCCTTGTTTGGCGTAAGGTTTTGAGCCTCATAGTATTTAGATAGTTTATTTTCACCCCTCGGAGTCTTTTTCGGGGCAACGAATTTGAACCCATTTTTTTTACTCCATATTAGTGCTCCCTTCGTGCAGAGCAGGCCTCTTCGTGAGACCACAGTTTGGGGATTGGTCTTCGTGTTCCTTCCCTATAAACCAACATTAACTGTCGGAACGTGAGTATCAAGCCTAGCGCGTTTCGGCACTGGATATTGTTAGATAAACCGGATATCCAGCAAGACAGTGTCAGATAATTCGGATATCCGGAGGCAGTAAAAGGAAGTGAACAATCAGAAGCCCTATCTTATGTCAGATAATCCGGCTTTCAAACGAGGCAGAAAGATCGACTGTTCAATCTTACAGGTCTAAAAGGCACCTTTAGGCATATATCTGGGCACCTAGATTTCAGCCCAATATTTACCCCTCCTGATAGCTCACAAATCACCCCGCCAAAGGTGTCTATAAAGGACCCGGCTTTAAAAAAAAAAACTTGAAAGACAGACACAGAACTCAATACATACAATCTTGCTAGTCACTTCTTTTCTTTGATCCTAGTAAAACACTCTTCAGGATTGGCCTGGAATAAACCGACTAATCCGACAATAATCTTGCTAGTTCCACAAAGGGAATAGCTTGTCCACTTGTATTTAGATAATATAAGTTGGCCAAACGCGATACTAGAATAGAGTTTGCCCCCACATTGAATATTTCTATGCCAGTAAACGCGATAGCATAGGCATTATCTTCAAAGATTTACATGTATGTATTCTCAAAGATGAAATTGTAAATGTGACCCTATGACTTGGAGTCGCTGCTTTTATATACAAGGCTGCCATTTATGTTAGTGGGATCTTCACAGGTAGATCGAACCAGCAACCCATTGAAGGCGGTGTCAAACTGAACGTCAAATGTTTGTCCAGGCGAGCCTATCTCAATTATGCTTATAGGGCTGCAAAAGTCAGTACTATGCTTAAATAAAGTTTTGGAAGTGGCATACCCATCGATCCTGATATCAATGGGGACCCTGAAACTGGGGTTCGTGGGAATAGCAACTGAGACTCCGCGGGTTACAGTTGACGGTTGTGCAAGCGCTCTGTGGCGGTGGTTGTGGTGAGTAGCACATGCCAGGGAAATATACAAAATGCTAGTTATGACCCACGAGAAAAACATTGTGTATTGTCTTTGAAGACTGCTGCCACCCCAGGTTGTGGGTATCGATCCTTTTATGTATTGCCACGTCCCAAACCAGCAGCGTGGTGTCTGAAACCTCATAATCTAACACCATTTCTGTTTTGTGACGTTGGTCCTTTATATACGAGGGAGACTGGTCAAATGTGGAATTGGAATAAAGTAGTTAGTGGGTGATCTCGCTATCTATGTAATGTTGGGTGTCAATTACTCAATTATTGACTAAACAATAGCTTGTATTCGACATCAATTGGGTTTAGTAGATTGATTATCATATCTAGACCTTTTTAGAAGACTTGAAATGAAACCAATAAATCGTCCCCTGGGTGTCTCGAGGTTTGATATTCGAACTACCCCGGCACATAACGGTCTGGAGAACATCGTGACCTTCGCAAGTTATATTGGTAATGAGAGCTCCCAGTATTCAGTTGAGATCCTACTCCAGCAACCTTCGCTTGACCAATTTTCGCGTTTAGAAGATCTTGTAATCGGTCTTATGCTGCTTTCTTTCAGTTTAGTGTAGTATCGAATCTGCAGGACCATCTGCGTTCTTTTGGGAAAGTGTGCTGCAATGCTTGGCCACGAAAGCTCTTCAAACTCTTTGAGATTGACTATCAGTGCATCTTCTTCAGCAGTATACTCCTTGTCCTTCGAGGACGCAGACTTGTCCACCCGCGGGAAAATGTGGCGAAAGTACAGGTGCTCTACATTTTGAGGTATCACAGAAATTCTTTTGATATTATTTATGCGAGGGAACAGGAGTTTGTGAAACACAGCGATGAGTCACCTAAATAAGTGGCTTGTGCAGATGTACCAGTACCAGTGCCTTGCATCAGAATGAAAGGTCAGGCGCTTTCCGCAAAGCCTAGCCTGAGAAAGACTAGGGCTTGTAATTAACCATCTGTATAGACTGAATGTGTTTATACAATCAATTAGTTCTTTATTTTTTATTCTCTTGAACCGACATAAGCGTCATTTTTCAGTAACATCTGTACAATATCTTGATATCCCTTTTCAAAGGCAGCACAGAGAGCATTACAGTATCTTCCACCTTGAGCGTTAACATCAGCCACTTTCTCCAACAGTGCTTGTATCACGTCGGAATAGCCTCCTTCAGATGCAGCCTGGATAGCATTGCCAGAAAACCCACCCTGAGCATTAACGCCTGCTCCCCTTTCAGTAGAGCATGTACAATATTAGGCAGATTCTCCTCCAACTATCCCCAAATACATTCATTCTTATCAAGGTAGTCCAACTGTTGATGGTAAGGAGAGGCTTTTTGCTAGGTATCTAATAGGACTTTCTTTACAAGCAAACATCAGTCATTACCGAGCCAGAACAGAAAATACATACGAGCGCTGACCGGAGGCCCCAATTATTTAGAATTGACCAACATGTCTATCTTGTTCATCTGCCGTGAGGAAACAAAAGGAAAGGATCCCTCGTCATCGTAACTCAGTGTTTGGGCGCATTGTTGTTCATCCAGTTGATACCATACACCTCTTGGCTCTTTGCAGATCCTAACTCTTGTTCATATGATGAGTCCCATCAATACTGTAGAAGTTGAGTTTCTGCAGCTCTTTGCCGATCTTGACATCCTAGACTCTAACTTGAAATTTTTCGGCAGATAAGCCCGAGGCCATGGTTGATCGGATGTAAACAGGATTAATGAAACTCAACCACGCAGATATTGTATCTCTATTTTATTTCCGGTACGGGTCTTTGGTAAATCTTTAACAGCGAGGAATCTAGATATGAATATTTCTTAATTCTGGTCCTCAAATTGCCTAGTTCTTAATCCTTTAAGTGTATTTAGCAGGCGACAGAGCCTGGGTCGCGTCTGTATAACATCTTCCAACTCCGAGCGGCTGTGAATTCTCCAGGGTTGTGGAGGGTTGGTCAGTCTTACTAGTGTGATGCCACTGTAGATCCCCTCTGGTAGGTGAATGGTGGATTGAACAAAGAGAGTTCCGTCATCTGTGATAAGAGCGACTGGAAGTCGCCGGAGCTTCTTTTGCTTCGCTTTCCTTCACGTTATAGATGACTTCTTCGGGAAGATTCATCTCCGCCTCCTGATGGAACCTAAGCATCAGAGAATCGAGTGGTGCGAATGCTGGGGCGCGCCTCACATGTCTCTCTGGTCGACGAAAAGCAGCTTTTTCCGGAAGCTTTGTACTGGACGGCTTAAACTTTTTCTCGTTGGTCACCGTGACTCGCATCAAACAAAGAAAGAAAGTAAGGCCAGAGAATGATATCGATCCACATATAGAAGAACTTTCACAACGCATTTACGGCAATTGACTTCAAAAGATTATGATTGGAAGCCAGCGTCTTTTTCGGATAGCAATGTGATACATCATACGTAACTCGCATAATATCTTCATATTATGCAGCCAGTCACTCTGCCAGGGGAATCTTCGACCTAACCAACCCGGTACATGTTCGGCTTTCTTTGTTCCAACCAAAATCGCTAACGGACGTATTTATTTGCCGTCTTTTCTCCTTTCCCATTGCTGTCAGAGTCTGCTTATTCACCATCTGATATATCTCAAAAAGCGTGGTCGTAACTAGTCTACTACGAAAGTGAGAACGAGATCTACCTTCCGAGTAAAACACATTAGCCAACTGACTTAAGAGAATCTAGAATACACGTTTCAGTTCCTATGCCTTAGGTGCTGATCGTTCCTCTCACTCGATCATCTGCGATAACAATCTCTGGCAACGGACGACGCCGAACCCGAATAAACTGCTGGATCTGATTTTGACAGTCCTAGCATCTAGCGATAAGATGAAAATCAAACCGCTCATGGAGGATATCCACAAGGAAAGTTCGCATCAACGTATCCAGGACGTCGCCGTGAACTCATTGAAAAGACGTGTGAAGCTATGATGATATGCGAAAAATAGTAATAGCACATTTGAACAAAAGGATAAGACCAGATGTTTGGCGAGGAGAACATGAGTCGATTCCAAAGTGAAAAAGCTGCTTGTGGGATCTTGATGCATAGATGATATGAATACGCTGAGTATTCCTCATACGGGCAAATGTAAGGCTCTGGGTTAGCAGCTGTATATATCACTCATATCTATTTTGATACATTTCCCTCCTACACTTGACGGAGAAACAAAATCGATATAGCATGGTCACGATGTTTGCAGGACTGATTCTCAACCTCACTTCGTGTAGAGTTGTCTTATTACCTTCTCCAAGGTTTCCAGATCCTTTCCGCAATCAGTCCAGACTGCACCTACAACGGCCTCAAAATCGGTCGCTAAACCATGTGTAGACTGGGCCTTATGAGAATGCAGACAAATTATATCTTTCAAGTGTGTTTGGATCGCTCGGTTCGCCATTGCTTTATTGCTCGCTGAATGTTGCAGCAATGAGCTTCCATCGACTATAACTAGAGGCTTGCATAAATGCAGTAAGCCAATAATATGCATGTGCCTAGCAGCCTTACCTCTTACCCCTCTTTCCAGCATCGTCCAGGCAAAGCGCCTTCATTATCTTTTTACGTCACCATCTCATTTGCGTGTAGAACCTTGAATCGCTTCCGAAGTCAGATCTATATAAACAACTGGAGTAAAATTTACCTTCTAGGCGCCCTCCGTCGCCTTCTGCCCCGCAATGTCAGATCCAGATCGATACATTGTTGGTTGGATATGTGCCTTGAAGACAGAATACGTCGCTGCCCGAGCTTTCCTTGAGAAGAAACATGGTCGCCCGGAGACGCTTTCGCCAAATGATAACAATCACTACACGCTGGGAGAAATCGGGGGTCATCAGGTTGTTATTGCCATTTTGCCAGATGGAGAATACGGGACATCATCAGCCGCTGGGGTGGCTAGGGACATGCTCCACAGCTTTCCAAATATTCGATTCGGGCTGATGGTTGGGATCGGTGGGGGGATACCCACAAAACATGACATCCGTCTTGGCGATATTATCGTGAGCTCATCTCGAAATGGGCGGGGCGGTCTGCTTCAATACGACCTTGGTAAAGAGTTACAGGGGCGAGCGTTCCATCAGACAGGGTTCTTGAACCAACCGCCACCGATTCTGCGCACAGCCGTCGCTGGGCTCCAAGCGCAATATGAGGAGGAGGGCCACCAGTTAAAGGAGAGCATTCAAGCCGTGCTTGAAGACAATAAACGACTGAATCGAAAATACGCACAACCTCCCTTTGAGAATGATAAGCTTTTCGAAAGCCACTTCGCTCATTCAAACTCCAAGGCAAGCTGCGAAGACTTCTGTGACATTTCAAAGTTGATCCAGCGACAAAAGCGAACCGACGAGGAAGATGACCCTGCTATTCACTATGGCTTGATAGCATCTGGGAACAGGGTGATCAAGGATGCAACCTTCCGCGACAAGCTAGCAGTGGAGCAGGATGCTCTATGCTTTGAAATGGAAGCGGCAGGATTGATGAACCATTTCCCTTGCTTGGTCATCCGTGGTGTGTGTGACTATGCCGACTCGCACAAAAGCAAGGAATGGCAAGGTTGGGCTGCGATGGTGGCAGCTGCATATGCAAGAGACCTCTTGTATCAAATCATTCCTCAGCGAGTAAATGCTGAGCGAAAAGCCAGTGAAGTTTTGAATGGTTAGTTCTAGCTACCTTTAATACTTAATCGTCATGCTTACTTGTTAGTTGGCAGGGATCAAAAGCCAGCTGGACGATGTCTCCAAGGAAGTTCATAATCTTCATTCAATTACAAGCGGAGCCGCCCGAGAAGTCGATGGTCTTGCCCAGAGTATTGACCTGAAGGGGTTACCAATTGCTGCAGGAGCTGAATTCGGAACATATATGGACCAACATGAAGCAGAATGCCTCCCAGGGACCCGAACAGAGCTTCTTGACGATATTCAAAAGTGGGCTGTCTCACTGGAAGGAAAATGCATGTTCTGGCTCAATGGTTTGGCTGGAACTGGCAAGTCTACAATATCACGAACCGTCGCAAAATCCTTTCAGAAGCAGGGGTTGCTAGGGGCGAGCTTCTTCTTTAAGAGTGGTGAAGGGGATCGTGGCAATGCAGCTCGGTTCTTCCCCACTATCATCCAGCAGCTACTTACCAGGATTCCGGAACTACGCACTGCTATCTTACGGGTGATTCGGGATAATCCAAGAATTTCAGCTAAGCCACTCAAAGAGCAATTTAATGAGCTTATCTACAAACCACTCCACAGCTTGAATCAAAACACACTTCGGGGCTCATATCTAGTGATTGTGGTTGATGCACTTGATGAATGCGACCGGGACAATGATATTCAAGTCATTCTCCAGCTCTTGCCACGTGTTCAGGAGTCAAACTCTCCATGCTTGCGATTTTTTATTACCAGTCGACCCGAGTTGCCTATCAGATTAGGCTTCAGGACAGTAGGTCATGACGATCTAATCCTCCATGAGGTATCCATGCCTATAATGGAACGCGATATCTCCTTGTTCTTGGAGGACAAACTTGTTGCAATAAGGCACGAGCGATCCCTCTCTTCAGACTGGCCTGGCAATGTGATTGTTCAAACCCTTGTTACAATGTCCGTCCCGTTGTTTATCTTTGCTGCCACCATTTGTCGTCTATTTCAGGATTACAACCTAGACCCTGAACAATGTCTTACTGAGATACTCAAATATCAGAATCAAGAGTCAAAGCTAGATGGAACATATCTTCCAGTGCTGGACCGCCTGGCTTCCAAATACAGTGGGACAAGACAAATGCAATTGATCCAGGAGGTTCGAGAAGTTGTCGGCGCAATTATTCTTCTTGAAAGCCCATTGTCAGTCACATCCCTCTCGAAGCTCATGGGGATCTCCGCGATTACGATTAATGCCAGGCTGAACTCACTGCACTCAGTCTTGAATATACCAAACAATGAGACGCTCCCAGTAAGGGTGTTTCATCTATCATTCCGAGACTTTCTTCTTGACCCCAACACTCGAGAGAAAACTCCATTCTGGGTTGAGGAGGGAGTAATGAACCAGAAATTGACAGCCTACTGCCTTTCTGTCATGCGTGATCAGCTGAAGAAGAATATGTGCAACTTCCAAAGTTACGGAACAGAGCGAAGGAGTATCGACACCCGAACGATAAATCTTTCTTTGCCACCAGAACTGCAATATTCATGTCGCTACTGGACCCATCATCTAGTACGAAGCAGAGATCCCATGAGCCAGATCGATAATATCTTGGCATTCCTTAAAGAACACTTCCTTCATTGGGTGGAGGTAATGAGCATAATAGGTAACATATCAGAAGTTGTGGAAGACATTCGTGATTTACAGTCATCAGTACAACAAGTAAGTCTTTAATAAATTTAGGTGGTTGCTATTACTAAGCATTATAGGATAATAAGAAATCTCAGATGTCTCAGTTTCTCCACGATGCGAAGCGGTTCATCCTGAAAAATACTCAGATAGCAGATATTACGCCTCTTCAGCTCTATGCTTCTGGCTTAATATTCGCGCCAAAAATGGCAGTAATCAGGAAGAATCTTAAAAAAGAGCTTCCTCATTGGATACATAGAGGCCCACGTGTGGAGGAAAATTGGAACCCAGAATTACAAACCCTGGAGGGCCATTCAAATTTCATTCAGTCAGTTGCCTTCTCACCAGATGGCCAGCTGTTAGCGTCCGGCTCATGGGATAAAACTATCAAGCTCTGGGATCCTGTTACTGGCACCCTCAAGTACACCCTAGAGGGCCATTCAGCTTCGGTTCAGGCAATTACCTTCTCACCAAATGGCCAGCTACTAGTATCTGGCTCTGGTGACCAAACCATCAAATTCTGGGATCCTGCTACTGGCGCCCTCAAGCACACTCTGGAGGGCCAATCAAAGGGTGGTTCACATTATGTTCAGCTAGTTGCCTTCTCACCAGATGGCCGGCTGTTGGCGTTCAGCTCTCTTGATCAAACAATTAAGCTCTGGGATCCTGCTACTGGAACCCTCAAGCGCACTTTGGAGCGCCGCTCTGACCCCTTTTCAGATTTCGATCCCCACTCAGAGGGTCATACGGATTACATTCAGTCAGTTGCCTTCTCACCAGATGGCCAGCTGTTAGCGTCCGGCTCATGGGATAAAACTATCAAGCTCTGGGATCCTGCTATTGGCTCCCTCAAGCACACTCTAGTAGGCCATTTATCTACAGTTCAGTCAGTCACCTTCTCACCAGATAGCCAGCTGCTAGCATCTGGCTTCAATGATAAAACTATCAAGCTCTGGGATCCTGCTACTGGTGCCCTCATATACACACTAGTAGGCCATTCAGCTTCAGTTCAGTCAATTACCTTCTCAGCAGATGGCCAGGTGCTAGCATCTGGCTCTGAGGATCAAACTATCAAGCTCTGGGATCCTGCGACTGGGACACTTAAGTACACCCTGGTGGGTCATTCACATTCGGTTCAGTCAGTTGCATTCTCACCAGATGGCTGGCTGCTGGCGTCTGGCTCTGATGATCAAACTATAAAGCTCTGGGATCCCGCTGCTGAGGCCCTCTCGCACGCCCTAGAGGAGGGCCACTCGCGCTTGGTACAGTCAGTTGCCTTCTCACCAGATGGCAAGCTGCTGGCGTCCGGCTCTAGTGATAAAACTATCGGGCTCTGGGATCCTACAACTGGTGCCCCTATCCACATCCTAACAGGCCATTTACATTCAGTTCAGTCAGTTGCCTTCTCACCAGATGGCCAGCTGCTGGCGTCTGGCTCTAATGATCAAACTATCAAGTTCTGGGATCCTGCTATTGGCACCCTCAAGCATACTCTGAAGGGTCATTCACGTCCTGTTCAGTCAGTTGCGTTCTCACCAGATGGTTGGCTCCTAGCATCTGGATCTAATGATAAAACTATCAGGCTCTGGGATCTTACTACTGGCACCTCAAGGCACACCCTAAAGGGCCATTTAGATTGGGTTCGGTCAGTCACCTTCTCACCAGATGGCCGACTGCTGGCGTCCAGCTCTGATGATAAGACTATTAAGCTCTGGGATCTTGCCATCGGCGCCCTTAAGCATACCATAAGTACTGACGGAGTTGTTACCAATGTTGAATTTTCTGAGAAGCTTCCTCATCTCATTACCGATCTGGGATCTTTCAATATCCAATCCCGGCATGAAAGGTTCTCATCAATTTCCTCCAAAACTGAAACCAATGTATCCCTGCAGGAAGATCGGTGGGTCGCTATTAAGGGTCGAAGAGAGTTGTGGCTCCCTCCTGACTATCAGCCCATCTCTTTAGCAGTCAAAGATGCTACTGTAGCACTTGGATGTAAGAACGGCAGAGTTTGTATGATTGCATTTTCTATCTAGAATCTTTGTATTGTTTTGAATTAGGTTTTCAGCTCTTTTATAATTTCAGATCTCTTTTCAAAATCTCAAGTAATCGGATTTACCAAGCAATATCAGCACCTCGCTCGATAACTATAGCAAGGTACTTTTGTAGCCTTGGCAGGCCCCTAAAGGCCCTGAGGCTTCTGGGGGGCTGCCCCTAACAGAGCCGGGCGTATGTAGATTGTTGCTCTTGTCTCGCCCCTATCTAGCCTATATGCCAGGGGCCTTTGGGCCTGCCTACAGGGTCTTGCCCCTGCAAGGATCTCTCCTAGTTTCAAGCACATGGGCACTCCTAGCGGGCTCTAGGCCCTTGAACTAGAGTGCTCTTGTCATGACCTCGCTCACGGGAGTATTCGCTCACTAAGCCGTTGCGCCAAAAAGACCAGAATATTGAGGATGGTGGATCCTCTCTACTACTCTCTCATATAGTAAGGTTGCCAGAGCCGTCACAGCTCTCCCTTCTATCCTCTCTCTCCATCTTCCCAATCCTATAAAGCTTCCTATGTTATGAGCTGACCTCATGTGTAAGGGCTCAAACAATAATGTATTGGAAGCTAGAAAACCAGAAAACTAAGCATGAGGAAAGGAAAAGAAAAGGGTAGGAACATGAAGCTATTCCACAACTTATTGGAATCTTTTGGTACTAGTCCGAACGGGGTTAGGCTCTGATAGGAGCGTACAATCTGGGTGAGGAATAAATTGACTCTGATTTGCACACTCTCTAAAAACACAGCTAGCTACGCATCTTGATCCTCTTTATATACACAATATTGGGGCAAAATAGCAATCCTGAATCCAAAAGTAGGGCTGTCGATATTGTGCCAAACCTGGGATCGGCAATTGTGTTTTTCCGGGGATTCACCGATTAGTAAGGTCGTCCAGAATAGGATTAGCGTATCAGATATCCAACCCAACCCTTCACGTCCATGACTACAACAACTTCCCTACTTCTGAATAACCTCACGCCGAGCCGTCACATCATGAGTATGTTCGGGCGGAGCCCTCACGAATATTGACAACAGCGCTATCTGCCGGATCCCGGCAAACCCGAATATGAAGCTATTCCCAGATCCCGCATGCTTGCGCAACATCGCCTATCCGGAGTCATACGATATCAGGCAACCCCGGATTCCCGGAAGAAGCATGTTGGAAGCCACTAATTCCCCTTGCCCATATAAAATTGTATGCGTATGAAGAACCTGCTGTCTCCTTTCTCTTTCCTTTTCTCCTGTTATGTTTTCTATTCGAATATGCCCTTATAATGAGCATTAGACGGGACTAGCCCGTAACACCTATCCCCATTTGAGTGCTTATCGACACGATGCTACTTTGCACCAATTTCAATCTAGATTTAGCAAGAATAAAGCCATTGGTCAAATAACTCAGTTGCACTCGTCTGGGCTACCGCGTTGAGTAAGGACTTTGGCGGGGTTAGTTATTTATGGATCCATTTCGTTGAAATTTGCCGTCTCTGCTGGTCTTGCATGTCGTGTTATTCGCACAACGCCGCCATGAGAGCTTCTGGGCGACCGACTACAATATCACCCAAGCGAATCAAATATATATACAACACATGTGCACGTCGGGATACAAAGCCTCCACTAGGAACCCTGGTTCTACAATCAGATATTGCTCCATTGGATGCCTCACATGTGGAAGTGGTTAGAACTGTTCGCTAAAGTAAGAGTGTGCATACAATCCAAGACAATGACTCATCTGAGGATGAGCTTAGCCAGCCATCAATCCACAAAGCCCCTGAGAAGCCAATTGAGCTAGCTCAGGAGACTGATATACTAATGACCACGAACCTTGAAGACAGCACCTGGGCTAATAATTAGTAATGTATCGTTATGCCAATTGACTACAAATTCTGCAGGCTAACTGCTGGAAATCGCGGGACCAGGTCCAGATACATCTCTTTGGTGAGAGTGAGGTGCAAAATTATGATATCCTGGCTATCCAGGAACCCTACATCAACAAACATACTGACCCACTAACAACCTACTTACTAGTGCTCAAGGGCAGCTTCTATATCCTACTGCAGCCAACACCCTAGGAGGAATATGAGAAATGCCTATGTATCTGTTTCTATATCAATAGAGGGTTAGATCCAGCCACATAGGAGGCTCAATGCCACAATAGAGATCAGAGCACGTTAACACTTCATATAGCCGCCTAGGGAACCATCCATATTCACAATATATACAATCTAGGAGTCAATAGCAACAAGGAATCTATAATTAGTACCCTGCAAACTGCCATGGCACCTAGAGTGTAACATATTGTATTAGGAGACTTTAACTGACATCACCCGCTATGGGCGGGCACGCGATATCAACATGTTGACGAGGAGGCCACCAAACTGATTAATCTTATGGATGAGCATGAGCTTGAGCAGCTCCTACCACTAGGCACGATCACGTACGAGAGGGTTAACACCAAATCTACAATCAATCTAGTGTGGGCGTCGCATGATCTAGCTAACCGGGTAGTAAGCTGCGACACCAAGTCAGAGTGGTGGTATAGAGCAGATCACATCCTAATCCTCACTTAATTTAACCTCACTGCTGTACGTGTTCCTCCAATGGTTCGTAAGCAGTAGAATACAACAGATTAGGATCTCTTTCTTAAACTGATAGATATATATAATTAGCACCTAAGGGAGCTCAATGACAACGAGGCGATCAAGGAGGCAATCCACTATCTAGTTGAGGCAATTAATTAGGCAGCCGAGCAAGTGACATCTATAAAGCAAATTACTATCTACTCACGAGCGGGCTACACCCTAGAGATGGTGAAGCTTAAACACCACGTATCTAGGTGTCGACGACACGCACATTATATAAATACAGATTAGGCATGGCAGGACTATGCAGAGGCTAGGAAAGAGATGAAACGGCGCACCAATAAGCTCGCACAAGATCTACATCGCTAAGAAATTGAGTAGGCAACAGAGTCAGTAGATAGCTTTTAGAGGATTGCCCATTGGGTCCGCACTTGGGGCAAGCCACGTGCCACGTTTACTCCAACGCTACACTATAATAATATGAATTACACAGCCCCAAAGGAGAAAGCAGCTCTATTCCAAGAGGTCCTTTATCTGGAGCCCCCAGAAGCAGATTTATTAGATATTAGGCTATAATATAGATATCCCAAACTGTATACAATGCCACCAATCAAATTAGACGAAGTCCGCACTGCAGTAAATAATATGAATCCTAATAAAGCACTAGGGCCAGATAGGATTCTTAATCTAGTCCTCCAAAGAATGCTTCCTACTATTGAGGCCTATCTCGTTAATCTCTTTAATGCGTGCCTACATCAACGATACTTCCCTAACCACTTCTAAAGGTCGATAACAGTCATTCTTTATAAGCCGTAAGGGCTGACTCCATCGCGAGATCCAAGGAGCCAATCTGAATGCGCGGAAGATTGATGGCAGCGATCTAAGGCAGAAATACGGGTGAATGCCTAAGGCCTTGGCAAGTCAGGATACCCCTCTCGGCGCCTGACCGGTGCATGAGCGCTTGTGTATATAGAGCGTAGATCTTCGCAGGGAATCCTCGAAGGTCAAGCGATTATTCTCGTACAACCTCACTCGTACCATCTGCTATTGTTGCTCTATCTTAGTTCGTATCTCTTGTGTGTGGATTCCTTAATATTCGCTTCTTCAAGTGTTCCGTATCCCATACCCTCGTACTCGAACTATCGTTCAACCCGGTCATTACACCTACATGGAGTGTTAATGTAATAGGAGGTTAATCCGATGGTTAGGCAGGAGGAATCATCAATATGGCAGAAGGCTATTCGTGTGTTCAATCTTCATTGAAAAAGGTACTGTTGCTAACATACAGAGACTGAAGCTTGAACGAGGAAAACTACTCTCATTACAGAAAACCTCCTTCTTATGCATACAGGAGTCGTTGGCAGGAGATCTCATGTTGTACCCCTACTTGGGGGTGGCTTGTCACAGATATCATGATGTACTGTTTCAGTACTGTTGGTATCACAGGGGTGTGCACACAGGTAAAGTGTAGGTTTGAGGTTGTTGTATTCAGTTGTGTCTCTCTAGTCTCCAAAGGAGCTCAGCTACCTATGTGTAGGTAAACAAAGCCGAGCTAACCAAGCTAGGCTAACTACAGCTGCCACCTCTAACTCACTTCCTTTTACCCCCTTTTTTATCTCCTCCCATATTGAATGCTTCGGAAATACGCTATCCCTACAAGTACTGTTACAGTTAATATTACAATAATATCCGCTGGCAGTCAAAAGAATCCTCCTATCAGCACCTGGTCTGTAACAGTTTCGACAGTAGAGCAGTCCATTGTTTAGCCGCAAAAGCTTCTAGACTGGTACTTTATAGGCATTGATTCTACATGGTCTGCTCTTAATAATATGTATTACTATCTATGCAATATAACCCTGCCTGATTTTACATTTGGCATTGGAAATGGGATTCTTGACTACGAGCATAGCCAGGTGGGGTTCATGAATAAGTCGACACCATTGCCGAAATTTAATACATCCGCCCTTAACATCATTGCAATGAACTAGATTATTATAGTAGCTCATTAGGTATATAGACAGAAACGTTAAGTCATCTATCATACAACCAATTCAATTTCTCCTGGCTGGCCAGCGCATTTTTTGCCTATGTCTCTAATTTCTGCTTCTAATTCCAAGCATGACATGCCGATACAGTAGATCGTCCTTGCTAGTACTTGAAGAAGATTGCGGACCCATCGTTGTGCCAGGAAAAGGACCGAGAGCCTGCTGTCCTGTTCAGCCTGAAAGGAGAGTCCGTGTGCTTAGAAGCGATGGAGATGCAGGATTGTCAGTGAATGAGCTTTTGATTCTCCCTTCAGAGATATGACCGTGCATAGTAGTGATACAGCCCCATACAAATGAAATTCTCAAGACAATTCAATCCTTGCCCCCAAGAAGACGGTCACATTTCCAATGATGGTCGATGACAATAAGTCTCCTGCAAACTCCGCTTCTGAATAGTGTGCTCGCAACTTCGCAATCATGATATAGTCAATCCTTCTAGGTTGAGTTATCAGGGATAGCAGCTATCGATACAGGACAAGGCATATTCTGAACAGCCTGAGTCAAGAGTATCTTAGGACGATAGACATGCCACATCACGGGCTTACGAATGGGCCAGAATAGGAGATTAGTGATGCAACGAAGCTACACAGTAGTCCTGCTATCACACACCGGACTAGTTGTAGCTAATACAATTGACGATAGGGTATAGAGTTTCTAGCCTGTCATCTCGAGAATCTATTACCGTCGTTGAGTGTATTAACGCCGAAGGAAAGGTTATACCACCTTTATTGATTCCAAAAGGTGAAAAGCATATGGAGGAATGGTATCAACATATCAAGGACGAAGAATAGCTTGTTGCACCAGCTAAGAATGGGTTTATCACTGATGAGATTACATTCGAATGGCTTCAACATTTTAACAATTATATGCATCCTGGAGATTCAAGCTGGCGGTTACTTCTCATGGATAATCATATAACCCATCTCACTATCGAATTCGTTGAATACTGTGAACAAGAGCACATTCAATTATTCACTTTTCCTCCACATTCAACACATCTTTTACAATCGCTTGATGGTATCCTCTTTCAGCAACATAATCACGTTCATGGAAGAGTAGTGAATAAGGTTGCTCGTCTTGGTGGCTTTGATTTCGATAAAAATGACTTTTTTGAGGAATTACGCGATATTCGTATACAGACCTTCACACCATGTATTATTTGGTATCGGTGGAAAGATCGAGGGATTTGGCCTTTCGATCGATATGAGGATTCATGAGAGGCGTATTGATCCGGAGGAAGACGAGGCTCCAACAGAGCCTCAAAACTTGGTTTTTTTCTTTGACTCTACGGGTGATAGGTGATCTATATATGTATTTCCAATGTGTCCAGTTTTTATATATAAATTGTATGGCGTTGGCAGACTAGAAAACATTTTACACGAGATATCGTATATTTTGGCCCGTGAGCCGTGGCGGACCATCAGCCAGTCAAGGGTGTAGGGAGCAACGGGACAAGTAACTAATTAATATCGTCATTGTGACATGCTTACTTGATATTTGGTTTGCCATCACGATGAACCCTTTATTTATCCTTTTATATTTTCATTATTGATCAATCCTACCACAAATCACGCTAATGCAAACCATGTCGAAGATAAAACTGGACAGTCGCCAAAAGATCATTCTGCCCGTGTCAATAATTTTCTTCTTTTTAGGCAGTGTCTTCATGGGCCTTTATCTGTGTTCATGTCTTTTTGTGGTGAAGAAGCTGAGATTCGCTGATTATCTAATGCTTCTGGCATGGGTAACGTAGTTCACTAGTGAGTTGGCCACACTAGTGAGTTGGCCACTTTTACCCGAAAATAACTCTATATTGATTTCAAATCCCAATTTTCAAAGCCACATACAAAAATATATACAAAAATCTAACTACTAGTACGATTAGGACATCGATTAATTTTATGTCCTTCAACACCACAACCACTGCAGCGAAATTGGCGGCGTACGACTGCTTGAGAAGCTGGGAGCTCCGGCTCACCCGGAGCAGTAGTAACAGCTTGAGATGCCTCAACCTGATCTTGTACGAGCGCTTGAGCTTCTTCGCCAGTAATCCCATGCTCAATAGATATCTGTTTCTTAGATTTTTGGCGTTTTTGTTTCTCTTTGCCATGCGCAGCTCGTAAATCACGGTTTTCTTTCTGTACGAGTACAAGATCATTCATAGTCGTTTCATAGGCCTTTGACATCCGCATAATTGCTTGATCAATCACTTGATTTGGGCTTCCTGTACGCTCATTTATACGTTTCGTAATTGTAGTTGACTGGCGTACAAATTGGCGTATATTTTGAGGGGTTTGTAAGCAAGATGATTGTGTATTGCTTGATCGACTCGGAGGGGGTGTTGGTGTTTTTAATTGAATATTAAGTTGTTGAATAACTCGATCCGGATTAAAAGGCACTAATCCAGTGGCTGTGAAGCTATTCCGAATAGTTTGAGCTTTATATGCCACCGTACGAGCCTGTGGAAATGCCATTAAAAAGTCCATTTTGTCGATATGGTTGAATCCAAGCCTCATTCGTTGCTCAACAAGCTGCCCATAATGCCGTTTTAAAACAGCAAAACAGCCAACATCAAGAGGCTGTAATATATGTGAAGAATGAGGTGGCATGCAGATTGGAATAATATTATTCTCAGTGCATATACGATCAAATTCTGCAGTCAAATGGCTTCCATGGCCATCAAGAATCAACATTCGATATTTTCCCATTGTACGATCATTAATATAGGGAATAAAATGGGTTGTAAGCCATTCTAATCCTATTTGATCTGTAGTCCAACCATTCTCGCTAATATTGATCCTCCAATCACTTGGAAGATCATCAAACCAGCCTAATCGTACGTTTTTCTTTGCCTTGAAAATAATGTACGAAGGAACAGCCCATCCAGTTGAATTTGTTGCCTCAATTGCAGTCACCCATTCTCGATTCCCAGGCTGTAAAAGCTTTGGCCGTGCATATCGATCGCTTCCAGTAATAACCTTTGCAGATGAGCAGAGTCCCATAGCAAAGCCAGTCTCATCAAAATTGTAAATATCTTCTGGTAAGATCCCATACTCCAATATAGCAGCTCGTACGCGATCAAAATGTTCCCGGATTATCTTCGGATCTTCGCATTTAGCGCGTTCATAGTTATATCTTCGTGAGAACTTCGAATCGATCTCTGGACGGCGTTTAGTCAGCTTGGTTACCCAATTCTCACCAACTTGTTGATTGCCACGTTGTAAAAGCATATAATTAGCCATTTCTCGTACGAGAGAGTGCCGGGGAGGTAATCCACGTCGATCTAAATCAAGAACCCATTTGACAAGCGAATCCTCCTCAGATTGAGTTAATTTATGGTTATTGGCGCGTTTTTCAGCTCGATATGGCATGCCGTTGATTCTATTTTGAAGAGTTGACCGTGAGATATTATAGATCTCTGCTGCTTTCCGTACAGAGCGTATTCTGCCATTCTTTAAATCAGAAATAGCTAATAGGATTCGTCCTTCTTGCTCAGCAGAATTTTTTTGATTTTTATTGCGAATTGGTGGCATATTGACGCGTTGAGTTGTGAAGGATCAGTATAGAACGCGTATTCGGGTAAAAGTGGCCAACTCACTAGTGTGGCCAACTCACTAGTGAACTACGTTAATATAGCCGCTGAGAAAAATGAATTAGTGCACTACTAATCATCCTCTAAACAGCTATTTGATTTAGGTTTAGCAGTTTGCATCTTCCTCGCAATTGGGAAGGGCTTGGGACTTCATGCATATGATATCAAGCCACAGAATGAAGTCGCCCTCAACAAGGCGACATATACATTTGCGGTCTTTTATGTGGGTTGCCAATGGCTTCAGATGTTCTAATTGTCACTCATATCGCGTATATAAGCTTACATGTTTTGTAGGACTTGGCATCTACGGCCGCTAAAAGCTCCATTCTAACATTCTTTCTCTCCTTGACTCATGGTCAGAAAGTCTTTCATTTCATGAATTACATAACACTTTTTGTGGTTGTTGTAGTGGGCATAGCCTTAATACTGCATCAAATATTTCACTGCCATCCACTCTCTGCCGCGTTCAGGTTTGAAACTCAGGAAGGACACTGTGAGGGCATTTTTTCATCATTCCTAGCTTCATCCCCGTACAACATCGTCACAGATCTTGCAATCTTACTGCTTCCTATCCCACTCTTAACTCGGATGACATTGCCTCTCCGACAAAAGTTGATACTGGTGATCACTTTTGGTGTCGCTATTTTCGTGATTGTGGTCGATCTCATTCGCATGGCTGTCCTTGAGCATAGCGCCATAATCCAGCTCCGATTACATCACGCAGCCAGTGTAGGGATGGTTGGCGATGGTGATTACACTTGTCCGTTATCCTAAGTAGTGACTTCCATTAGGCTTTGTTCAATGATATTAACAGGATATCTATTAATATAGGGAGATATCCATTTACGTTTATGTGGTCCACAGCAGAAGTTAACATGACTCTGATTTGCGCTTGTGTTCCAAGCCTAAGACCTCTCGCTGCTCGATTCAGCCCATCTCTGCTCCGGAACCCACAGGGAAAGTCTGAAATTGAGCAGGGGACGTTAGAAGAATCCCAACAGGCGCCTAGCAGAAGTGGAGCTGTTGCTGGTGAGATGATGGATGCCATCACATTGCGTGTGGAAGCAGAAGCACAAGTTGAACAGGCATCTAGGAGAGGCACTGGCGATCCATTTCAGAAGGAAGAAGAACCGCCAATCATTAACATACTTAACATGAGGCCGGCATCGATGCTGAGACTGAATAAGAAGGAATCCTTCCCTCCTAATGTGCTACTTACCACGCTTTTCTTTATGTGGGGGTTTTCATATGGCCTTATAAGTGTTCTTAATATCAGATTCGGATCTTTGGTTCAATTGAACGCATGGCAATTACGGGGACTCCATGCAGCATATTACGGAGGCTACATGGTAGGAGGTATCTTATTAGGTCGAATATTTCTGAAAAAATTGGGCTTTGCAGGTACTCTTATTGCTGGTCTTTATATATATGCTTGCGGGGCGCTTCTCTTCTGGCCATCGGCGGTTTTAGGATCTCTGCCGACTTTCATTGTATCTAATGTTGTGGCAGGATCCGGACTGGCCTTACTGGAGACGACAGCGAACCTTTCCATGGCTATTTGCGGACCGCTAGAGTATTCAGAGATACGATTATGTGTTGCTCAGTTCTTCGAGGGTATTGGTCATGTTTGTGGCATGCAACTTGCTGAGAACGGTTTGTTCAAGAATTCCAAGGACGCTACGAAAGTAGTTAATGCACAGTGGACATATCTAGTTATAGCTTTTATTTCTGTGCTCCTCTCAGTTATCTTCTATTACCTGCCATTACCTGAAGCCCCAAATGATGATTTAAGGCAGTTGGCTGCTCAGCGTCCTGAAAACAAAGCTAAAATTTGGAGCTTGCAGACCTGTAACATTACCTTTGGATTGGGGGTTTGGGCAATGTTTTTATACTTCGCGGGACAAGAAGCACATGCTGTTAATCTCCAGGACTACGTGAGATTTTCTGACCCGAAGTAAGTTAAACAAGTTTTTATTAAAGCATATTCCAATACTATTGCTATAGCTTTGACTGACAAGATACCTCCCGCCTATCAAAGCTTAAGTATCAATCCAAACAATCTCGGAGCTATCGCATATACAGTATTAACTGTTGGACGTCTTTCAACGGCGTTTATTGTGTGGCGATTATTGAAGCCTCGATGGACGCTATTTGTCTTATATATTGGGATAATAGTCTTTGGAACTCTTTGCATGCACACAACCGGCCTGACTGCTGTTGTCATGGCGATAATGGTCTATCTTTTTTTGGGTGGGATCTTTCCACTCGTATTTGCAATTTCAGTGCGCGGGATGGCGCAACATGCGAAGACAGCCGCTTCTCTCTTGGCTGCAAGTGTCGGTGGTGGTGCGTGGTCCCCCTTTCCACAACATGCTGCTGCTTTGAGTCATGGCCAACCTTGGTCCTATAGCGTCATGATTGCGCTGTGGAGTGCTGGCGCTATATTTGTATTGTATTTGAACTTTGTGCCTCAAGCAAAAAGGCAGGTTGATCCAGTACAGGATGATTATATTAAAGAGGAGTAGCAATGCCATTGCCACGCCTTTCATCTTTGTATATCTCTAAATTAGTCAGACTGGAAGAGTTCCTGTGCTTTCCTGTACAATAGTCTTGTTACAACCGAATAAAATTATCATAATTACAGATCTTACAGGTCTAAAAAAGGCACCTTAGGGCATATATCTGCGCACCTAGATTTCAGCCCAAAATTTACCCCTCTTGACGACTCACAAATCACCCCGCCAAAAGTGTCTATAAAAGACCCGGCTTTGAAACTTGATGGATAGAGAGACAGAGAACAAAAACACATACTATCTTGCTAGTCACTTCTTCTTTTCATCCCGTATAACCCTCTTCAGGATTGGCCTGGAATAAACCTCCAATCCGACAGATAGCTAGCTGGATATATACGCGGCACGCACGTGCCATGTCGAACTAACTAATATCTGGTGCCGAAACGTGTAGGGTTGATATTTACGTCCCGACAGCCCCATTAAGGGGATCCTCTTTTTGGTAAAATGGTAAATTAGTTCCGACACTATCCAACTGTCACATTTACCCCGAAGCATGAACGGAGCTAGCTACATTGATCTTAGCTCCCGAAAATTTTCTTAGCCGTAACCCTAAACCATCCTACAGTGCAACGCAAACTATAGATAGAGTTATACGTAGTGTTCTATCAATATTAACACATATCAGGATCAAACCAGGGAACGTCATTAGGTCCTTTCATCCTTCCACAGACATCATCCAGCCCGAGGGCGCGCCCAATACGAGTCAAGCTCTAGAGATATTTCAGATATAAGCGGAAATATCCGAGGTAGTATTCCGTGTTGCAACTGCTGTCTTCTTGGTAGTTTGGGTCCACCACTGTGACCCAGCCAGGGTGGCGGATGATGGATTGTAAAGCAGCTTCATCAATAACCAAACACCACCGAAATCGAACCCCCTGATGTCCGTTATCGCTCTCCCGGACTTCCTTAAAATGGTTACGGATCTTGTCTAGCGTTGCGCCGTTGAACTGAGCGGAGTCATCAAAAGCTAGGGGGCGGTATCCCTCCTGGAAGATCCGGGACGGCTCATCCTCATCTAAGCTTCTGTAGATACTCTTGGATATTGCTTCGAGAAGGGCATCCCAATGCTGGTTAGATTCTGGTGTATAAACGGTGCGGTAGATGGTATATCCCCATGGCCATTGAAACGGAAGTTCGTCATGCAGGAATTGCACAACCTCGTTGTTTGTATTTTTCCACCACGGCTCCGAAATGAAATGGTGAAGTTTTTTGTCTTCACCCACCGGAAAATCATCCGAGGATCAGGGCTCGTCCCAGGTCTCGTGGTGAAAGCGCCACATGGTTTCCATGGGGAGAGTCCGAAGGAAAGATAGTGGAAGCGAGGGTGAAAGAGAGTGGGAGAGAGAATGGGGAAGGGGTTACAAGTTACCTATATACATTGGAAGTCGTGTATTGTGCATTCTGATTGGGTAACAGATTCAGCCTCCTGTCGGATTAGTCGGTTTATTCTGTCAGATAATCCGGCTTTCAAACGAGGCAGAAAGATCGACTGTTCAATCTTACAGGTCTAAAAGGCACCTTTAGGCATATATCTGGGCACCTAGATTTCAGCCCAATATTTACCCCTCCTGATAGCTCACAAATCACCCCGCCAAAGGTGTCTATAAAGGACCCGGCTTTAAAAAAAAAAAAAACTTGAAAGACAGACACAGAACTCAATAC